ATTTTGGCCCACTCCTCCATACAGACCTTCTCCAGATCCTTCAGGTTTCGGGGCTGTCGCTGGGCAATATGGACTTTCAGCTCCCTCCTAAGATGTTCTATTGGGCTCAGGTCTGGAGACTGGCTAGGCCACTCCAGGACCTTGAGATGTTTCTTACGGAGACACTCCTTAGTTGCCCTGGCTGTGTGTTTCAGGTCGTTGTCATGCTGGAAGACCCAGCCACGACCCATCTTCAATGCTCTTACTGAGGGAAGGAGGTTGTTGGCCAAGATCTCGCGATACATGGCCCCATCCATCCTCCCCTCAATATGGTGCAGTCGTCCTGTCCCCTTTGCAGAAAAGCATCCCCAAAGAATGATGTTTCCACCTCCATGCTTCACGGTTGGGATGGTGTTCTTGGGGTTGTACTCAACCTTCTTCTTCCTCCAAACACGGCAAGTGGAGTTTAGACCAAAAAGCTCTATTTTTGTCTCATCAGACCACATAACCTTCTCCCATTCCTCCTCTGGATCATCCAGATGGTCATTGGCAAACTTCAGACGGGCCTGGACATGCGCTGGCTTGATTAGGGGGACCTTGTGTGCGCTGCAGGATTTTAATCCATGACGGCGTAGTCTGTTACTAATGGTTTTCTTTGAGACTGTGGTCCCAGCTCTCTTCAGGTCATTGACCAGGTCCTGCCGTGTAGTTCTGGGCTGATCCCTCACCTTCCTCATGATCATTGATGCCCCACGAGGTGAGATCTTGCATGGAGCCCCAGACCGAGGGTGATTGACCGTCATCTTGAACTTCTTCCATTTTCTAATACTTGAACTTCTTCCATTTTCAGTTGTTGCCTTCTCACCAAGCTGCTTGCCTATTGTCCTGTAGCCCATCCCAGCCTTGTGCAGGTCTACAATTTTATCCCTGATGTCCTTACACAGCTCTCTGGTCTTGACCTTTGTGGAGAGGTTGGAGTATGTTTGATTGAGTGTGTGGACAGGTGTCTTTTATACAGGTAACGAGTTCAAACAGGTGCAGTTAATACAGGTAATGAGTGGAGAACAGGAGGGCTTCTTAAAGAAAAACTAACAGGTCTGTGAGAGCCGGAATTCTTACTGGTTGGTAGGTGATCAAATACTTATGTCATGCAATAAAATGCAAATTAATTACTTAAAAATCATACAATGTGATTTTCTGGATTTTTGTTTTAGATTCCGTCTCTCACAGTTGAAGTGTACCTATGATAAAAATTACAGACCTCTACATGCTTTGTAAGTAGGAAAACCTGCAAAATCGGCAGTGTATCAAATACTTGTTCTCCCCACTGTATATACTGTATTCTATTCTATAATATTCTACTGTATCTTAGTCCATGCCGCTCTGTCATTGCTTGTCCATATATGTATATATTCTTAAATTCCATTCCTTACTAGATTTGTGTGTATTGGGTATATGTTGTGAAATTGTTAGAAATTACTTGTTAGATGTTACTGCACTGTCGGAGCTAGAAGCACAAGCATTTCGCTACACCAGCAATAACACCTGCTAGACACGCGTATGTGACAAATTTAAATTTGATTTGATTTGCCCTCAGAACAGCCTCAATTCGTTGGGGCATGGACTCTACAAGGTTTCAAGCATTCCACGGGGATGCTGGCCCATGTTGACTCCAATGCTTCCCACAGTTGTGTCAAGTTGGCTGGATGTCCTTTGGGTGGTGGACCATTCTTGATACACACGGGAAACTGTTGAGCGTGAAAAACCCAGCAGTATTGAAGTTCTTGATACACTCAAACCGGTGCACATGGCACCTACTACCATACCCCGTTCAAAGGCACTTAAATCTTCAGTTTTGCCCATTCACCCTCTGAATGGCACACATACACAATTCATGTCTCAATTGTCTCGAGTCTTAAAAATCTTTCTTGAACATGTCTCCTCCCCTTTATCTACACTGATTTAAGTGGATTTAACAAGTGACATCAATAAGGGATCATAGCTTTCACCTGGATTCACCTGGTCAGTCTATGTATTCTTAATGTTTAGTACACTCAGTGTATATTTGTCTCATTGCCACTTTGATAACCTGATATTTTAGCACAGTTCATTGCGTTTTTGTAGGTGCATTAAAATGTTAACGTTTCCCTTTCCCCCCAGTGTTAATCTGGACAGGTAAGGGTTTGTTTTGTTGTGATGGTGGTCCATGGGGTTTTCTCCCTATATTTTACTTGAATGTAGGCTATACCATTTGAAGGCTAGAACCTGATGAAGAAGGCCAAAACAGAGATGATAAGATTGTGTGACTATTGTTCAAAAGCAGCAGGCAATTTCAAATATAGGCCTATTGGGATATTGGCTTCCCTGACTCAAATCAGTGTAATCTATGGGAGGGATATCTGTTCATGAGTGTTGTGTGTGAAAGCATCAAACACAGAAGGGAAAGTGCACAAGAAACTGTCAGAGCAGATGAAAGGCTGAAGCTTTCTGTTGTTAGATCAGTGATTCTTCTTCAGATTCAAAGACACTTGAGAGGAGAGACTCATCCAAGGATGGAATGGGAGTCCCAGGGGATCCATTTCAGAACCATATGCTCTCATCCACGTTTGAAAGCCTCATGCCAACTGGCACCAGTCACTAACCTTTAACCCCGGAATTCAAATGTGGATGCTGTGCAATTGTTAATTTGCCTTTATCATTCATAAAACACTAAAACGACTTCTGTAATATCATCGACACGTCATAAGACACCTTAGATTAATGGGGATTATGCGCCATTATGATAAAGATGGGAAACAGGCCCGGAGTCCCTGTATTGATGCAACAGACTGCTTTATGCACATTTTGGACCATGGGTTTACCAAGCAGCAACAGAGTTTGTGAAACTAATGAGGAAAATGGCTCATGATACAGATGTCATCATGACTAAAATCTATGAAATTGTCTTTTAATAAACTATCTATATCATCGTTTTGTTATGGCCTAAATTGTAGATATTTGTTTTCCTATTCTTGAACCTTTATGTCTAAATGTCTCTCCCTCCGAAAATTCCTTTGACAGGTGCAAAGACGAATCAAAGCTATAGGCTACTGTGTCTGTGTCAGTATCTCTCAACTCGCCGGCTTTGTCGCCATTCTGTCAAATGGTAGCCTGCCGATCCAAAGCATTGATCATTGCGTCCTCTGCTTCCATTTCCCACTGTTCACACCTTGTCAAATTTGTGGCCCAGTTGTAAACCGCTACAAGCCCCCTGCGGCTGCTCAACGCTAATCCGACTCGTTAGCCATTAATTCCTTCATCAAAAGATGAAAACAGTCTGTGAATCTATTAATGTGTATTTGACAACCAATTAACATCAGTGATGAAAGTATTTTTCAATAAACTTTATTTTGTATAAGAAATGCCAAAAGTGCCTGTAGTTGCAAAATCCCCCAGCTATTTCAGTGTTTTATCCAGTGGCACTCATTAGGGCACAGTCGGTCTACTGTAATTGTGATTGAAACATGTCTGTCTAAGCAAATCGATGAGCAAAAGATGTTGAACTTGTGCTCATAGTCCACGGTGAGCTATGCATGATAGCCTAGTCTAGCCTATAGGGCCTGTCATGTTCTTATCCGTAGTCTATATGCAGCTAACCCAAGTGCATTTTCATGGCCAAAGGGCCAAGTAGGCTAATGGCTTTGGATAGCTGTGCGAAATTATTATGGTATAGCGCTAATATTCCATTGGAGGCATTGGGAATGGAAAAAAAGCGCGCAATACTTTGCAGGCTACTTTCCGCACACGTTATTTCAAATCAAGATTTGGGCTTATGGTGATTAGAAAACGTACAGCAATGTGCTTTTTAAAATGATGTCAAGTAATGTTGTGGTGGTGCCTGTTTATACGACCGACCTTGGACAGGATCTAACGTTGCTCTGTTGGATATGGCCATTGTACCTGACGTGTTACCAGTAACACTTGGTGCTGCAGGGCCGTCAGAGGTGCGACATTAGTCATCTATTGGCGTCGCTTTCCACGGCATAGCGGTGCCTTTGTACTGTAGGAGAGGACGCGGGTGGGGGAGAGATTAGAAAGTGAAGGTGGCTGAACTGGACTCTACAGAGACTAATAATTTATTCGACTGAAATTAGATGATAGAGCGATTCTGCCAATCACAAATGTATCTTTCAAGATTGACTTCTACATGATTTGTGGACACTGATGTTTCCAGGTGCTTTAAAAATACTGAATGAATAAATGCCTCAAGCAAAGGATTTTGATGATGAGAGTGTGGCACTGGCCTTTCATAGGCCTATCGTTTTGTTTCAATGCGTTGTTGGCAATTGGTTAATTACCTGGCCAGTAAGAGGCCTGAAGTGTTGTTAGTTTATGCTTCAAGCTGCAGTTACTCTTAATTGCTTTGTTTGTCAATTGGGCGATTAAATTGCCTTGTGATATTAGGTACTCTGCCAATCGTTTAAAATGTTATGCAAACGGTGGTCAAGTCATTCTAGTCCGAGATGCCTTTTAATTGGTTTACTTTGAGTCATTCTGTAAGATGGTGTAAACAAAAACAATCAAATTTTACACATGAAGACTGTCATTTTCATTAAATTATTTTATTAATCACATTGACATTTTAAGGACAAAACATTCTACACATTGTTACAGCGTCAAGTGGTTGGGGGAAATATAAGCGTTTATTTTGAAGGTTACAGGGCCAAAAAACTATAGGCTACACCCCCAAGGGCCTTTTTTTTTCTGTACGAATCTTCACTGGAAAAAATATTTTATAGCCTATTCAAGACATTGCCGAACTATTTCGGTCTCTAAATGAGCTTTTTCTTATGCAAATCCTCTATACATATTGAGATATTTACAAAAACAAACATTAGCAGTTCTCAACTGCGCAATAGCAGGAAGTGAATTTCCGGCGTCATGCGCTTTCCAGGTAACAGAAGATGTCACAACTTGGGGCCAGGTAGACTCCAAACTATTCTATTAAATCCCAAAGGCAGACAGTTGACTAGTACGGGCCACTACCAGGGCCTCCACATGGATTTGGAGTAGGTGATAGTGGGACTGTTCTGGGCCTCTTGGTTCTCCAGTGGGTCGGTAGCGCTCTGGTTATGCTCGCTGTCTGTCTCGTACAGGTCAGAGCACAGGTCCTCGGTGGAGGTGGTGGAGGCGGCAGGAGAGAGGGCCGAGGAAGAGCCACTGGATTTACTTCTGCATCCGGGTGATGCTAGGGCCGCGCACACCGCCTCGCCGGCTGGCCAGGTGCTGCCGTTGTTGCTGGAAGTGTCCGATACTATATCCATAACCATGTCCTGAAAGTGGTCCTCGTTCAAGGGCATACACTCCAACAGGTGGTTCAGTAGCTCGGCCGCCACCGTCGCGTCTATCCCGGGACAGTTGGACACAAACATATGGACCTCATGCATGCACTGGATGTAGCCTGCTGCAAACCTCTCGCTGGCCTCCCGGTTCATGATGTCAGTCTCTGAGGAAGAAGGGAAATTAGGCCTACATAGATTCAATTGCACTCCCACAGTGGCCGTTATGATAAGCAGCACCTGATATAGGCCTAAATGCACTTTGATGAGTGGAGGAAAGGGTCAATAGTGTGTGCCATTGCTCACAGCTTACCTTGGGAACGATCCTTGAGAATGTGCTCCACTTTTTTCACCGTCATCTCCAGAACCTCTGCGTTCTCCACCTTTGACTGAAACCGATTGGAGAAGAAGTGAAAAATATTAGATTTAATTCGTTTCTATTGTATGACAGGTGCGCCAGGTGAGTCTACAGCGGGGGAGGTGCGCCAAACTCACGTCCGTGTCAGCGAGCAAGGTCCGGAGCTCCTGAAAACTCTCATTGATACGAGCACGCCTCTTCTTCTCCACCAAAGGTTTTCTCGCCTGTAACAATGACACATGGAGCTGTTAGTGCGTTGTAACAATGTAATAACTGCATTACTAGGGTAGGCTACTCTATAGAATGGGATCAGCGACACTACAACCACAGATGCGCCGTACCTTTCTATCCCCTTTATTAATCCCGTAGTAGTCATCCTCATCCATGCCAAATCCGTTCTTGATGTGCAGAGCCGAGGGGGCCATGTTGGTTTTGAGCCCGAGCCGTACAGTCAGTCTGAGATCCCAGTTTGTATTCCACTGCTATTTTCCCGATCCGTGAAAGAGAGCAGCTGGCAAACGGACCCGGTCAGAGAAAATCTATACACGACAGGCGAGACGCCCTGTGATTATTGTACAATCTTCGCTAGACGTACTGCTGGCGCTAAAGAGCTGTTGTAGGTATTTATAAGGACTAATTTGCATATGAATGTGTGGTTTGTCTGCACTAGCCAGGGGACAACAGAGCACACACCCCGAGAGCCAATCAGAGCCCTCTCCTTTGTCTTCCGCCAGCCCTTGCTGCGCGGTGAGGATCAGTAGTGTGTGCTCATCTTTTGGGTCGCGTATCCGGCGTAAGTGTTTTTTGCTGTTGATTTTTGTAGGCTATCCACTTAGGCTACTGTTGAAGAGGCTGCTATCACAAATGATATATCCATTCATTGGGTTTTCAAAGCTCCAATGTGTCCAATGTATTTCACCAGGTATCCCTATAGGACCATGTATGGCATAACACAGAGAGATATTATGCAGATTCCATAAGTAGATAAACATTTTTCCCCCTATATTTTAGAGAGACATTTCTTTAGACGTGGAGTATTTGTAATATATATTTTTTAAATACAAATCCTGACAATATGCTGATTATCTCAAGACATTTTTTCTCTTCTGTTATTTTCTTGCCCTACCCAGTCCCATTTTTCGTATGTCCCTGTTCAAGGCTCTGAAGATTTCCCCAGCGCGGGTTCTCGGGTGTAACGCGATGCCTTCAGTTGGCAGCTGCTGGCGGAGGCCCCTTGGCCTAAACTGAATCAGCCGGGGAATTAAAGGCCCTTCCCCAAAGAAAGCGACAGGTGTTATCCTGCTCCTCATTTGTTCTCTCCCTTCTTTGGTGATTTCTGATTTGGATGCAACTGCACTCTCAGATGCCCCATCCCCTTAAAACGCACAGAACAAATAGGTTCCCAAAACCTGCTAAATAGACCCTACTTAGTTTTAAATATTGATCTTTAGAAGTCATGCATGTTTGTATTTGCTCATCCCTTACAGTTATACCTCCAAAATAGCTTCAGGCTTATGTTCAAGAACAATTGGGTTATTATGGTTGCGTTTACACAGGCAGCCCAATTCTGATCTTTTGCACAATTATTGGCGAAAGAGCTGATCTGGTTGGTCAAAAGACCAATTGGTGTAAAAATATCAGAATTGGGCTGCCTGTGTAAACGCAGCCTATGTTATGTCTAGAAATTGACTCTTATCCATTATCCCAATTTCGTTGTTTGGGTGTGTGCACTAGTTTTCTTTTACGCACAATTGTCTATTTGTTTATGTCTGATAAAAGTGTTCAACCATTTGGCCTCGTTGTGTATGTGTACAGCGCATTGTCATGCAAATGACCAATACACAATAGCGCATTTGTGTCTATCTAAACAAGCACGAAAATGTGTCCTGTCACCAGGTAAACAACATGATACCATTACGAGTGAGTTTTACACACAAGGTTTTCGCTACAGCAATTAGGCACCAGTCATATCTACAACCTAAATGAAGGCCGTGTCCAGAGGCTTTGAAGTGGAGGGGTTTGGCACCTCGCCACCCCCACGCTCCGCTCCAGATCTCCTCTTAATGGTCTGGACTGGGGAGAGAGCAGCTGTCTCGGCCCTCTTTTGTTCGAGAACCCGCAGAGGGACCGGGCGCCCTTCTCCATCTCCTCTCTTCTCTCCCCTCTCTGCCACCACACAGCGGCTTCATTAGCTCTGTGGCCAATTATTATGGGTTTATAGTCAGGAGGAGAGGGACCATGTACTACAGCAACGTTTTCCATTTTCGAATTCAATAATTTATTTAAAATGCACCAAGTAGGCCTATGCATAACGTTAATTTGTCAGGATTTTTTATTTATTCACTATTGTAAACAAATAATGGTTTGCCTATACTGTGATTGAAAATATTTACAGTGGGGGAAAAAAGTATTAAGTCAGCCACCAATTGTGCAAGTTATCCCACTTAAAAAGATGAGAGAGGCCTGTAATTTTCATCATAGGTACACGTCAACTATGACAAACAAAATGAGGGAAAAAAATCCAGAAAATCACATTGTAGGATTTTTTATGAATTTATTTGCAAATTATGGTGGAAAATAAGTATTTGGTCAATAACAAAAGTTTCTCAATACTTTGTTATATACCCTTTGTTGGCAATGACACAGGTCAAACGTTTTCTGTAAGTCTTCACAAGGTTTTCACACACTGTTGCTGGTATTTTGGCCCATTCCTCCATGCAGATCTCCTCTAGAGCAGTGATGTTTTGGGGCTGTCGCTGGGCAACACGGACTTTCAACTCCCTCCAAAGATTTTCTATGGGGTTGAGATCTGGAGACTGGCTAGGCCACTTCAGGACCTTGAAATGCTTCTTACGAAGCCACTCCTTCGTTGCCCGGGCGGTGTGTTTGGGATCATTGTCATGCTGAAAGACCCAGCCACGTTTCATCTTCAATGCCCTTGCTGATGGAAGGAGGTTTTCACTCAAAATCTCACGATACATGGCCCCATTCATTCTTTCCTTTACACGGATCAGTCGTCCTGGTCCCTTTGCAGAAAAACAGCCCCAAAGCATGATGTTTCCACCCCCATGCTTCACAGTAGGTATGGTGTTCTTTGGATGCAACTCAGCATTCTTTGTCCTCCAACCACGACGAGTTGAGTTTTTACCAAAAAGTTCTATTTTGGTTTCATCTGACCATATGACATTCTCCCAATCCTCTTCTGGATCATCCAAATGCACTCTAGCAAACTTCAGACGGGCCTGGACATGTACTGGCTTAAGCAGGTGGACACGTCTGGCACTGCAGGATTTGAGTCCCTGGCGGCGTAGTGTGTTACTGATGGTAGGCTTTGTTACTTTTGTCCCAGCTCTCTGCAGGTCATTCACTACGTCCCCCCGTGTGGTTCTGGGATTTTTGCTCACCGTTCTTGTGATCATTTTGACCCCACAGGGTAAGATCTTGCGTGGAGCCCCAGATCGAGGGAGATTATCAGTGGTCTTGTATGTCTTCCATTTCCTAATAATTGCTCCCACAGTTGATTTCTTCAAACCAAGCTGCTTACCTATTGCAGATTCAGTCTTCCCAGCCTGGTGCAGGTCTACAATGTTGTTTCTGGTGTCCTTTGACAGCTCTTTGGTCTTGGCCATAGTGGAGTTTGGAGTGTGACTGTTTGAGGTTGTGGACAGGTGTCTTTTATACTGATAACAAGTTCAAACAGGTGCCATTAATACAGGTAACGAGTGGAGGACAGAGGAGCCTCTTAAAGAAGAAGTTACAGGTCTGTGAGAGCCAGAAATCTTGCTTGTTTGTAGGTGACCAAGTACTTATTTTCCACCATAATTTGCAAATAAATTCATAAAAAATCCTACAATGTGATTTTCTGGATTTTTTTTCTCAATTTGTCTGTCATAGTCGACGTGTACCTATGATGAAAATTACAGGCCTCTCTCATCTTTTTAAGTGGGAGAACTTGCACAATTGGTGGCTGACTAAATACTTTTTTCCCACACTGTATGAACATGTTTCCTTCTTCTACAAGTCCAGTAGGCCCTACACAAATATGACCAGTGATTAACCAAACACTTGTTGATGTCTCTATGACTGCGTTTAGACAGGCGGACTAATTGGTATTTTTGCCAAAAATATCTGATGAGAAAAGATCTGATGTGATTGTTCAAAATACCAATCAGTGGAAAAAATATCAGAATTGGGCTGCTGGTGTAAACGCAGCCTCAAAACCTGGGCTGCTGGTGTAAACAGCCTCAAAACCATGACCCAATTTCCTCATCATATACAGGTAACTGCCAAAATAAAGGAAACACCAACAAAGTGTCTTATTAGGGCATTGGCCACCAGAACAGCTTCAATGCACCTTTTCATAGATTCTACAAGTGTCTGGAACTATGTTGGAGGGATGTGACACCATTCTTCATTGAGAAATTTCATAATTTTGTGTTTTGTTATTGGTTCATCTCATGATGTTATAGGATCAAAAGGGCCCTCTATATATAAGAGAGAGAGGAAAAATGTGTGTGTGTTCACATAAAGAAAATAGATAACTGTGAAGAAATTGCATACACATTTTTATTAATATTGGTTAATTATATACAACATAGAAGGGAGCAGTACAAAAGCTATTTGTGATGGACTAGAGCTAAGAAGCTAAATGTTTATCTTATTATTCAATAAATAAAGACGTTAATACAATAAATATAAGAAAAAGATTAATAAGCGCCTTCTACAATGCAGGCTACGGAAAGTAGACTTCGGAGTGGAAGTACTGAAAGGTCTGTATATATAGCACACCTAGATCAGAAACACAACCGCCCCACAATCCAACACAATGTCTTCTGAGTAGCATATCTATAAGATACATAACAGAGGAGGGTCTAACATAGAGATCCAGCGCACACCCAGAGGGCCGGTACAGTTTACCAGGGCCTCCACATCTCCAGCATGCCCAGGTGGGGGCTGAGGAGGTGGGGGCTCCCGGGCAGGAGCAGGGGCTTGTCCTGGGGCCCCACCACGTGGCACAGGGGCCCCTCCCTCTGGCCCTGCCTTCCAGACCTGGGGTCCTCTCTGAGTGGTGTAGTGGGGGATCCTGGCCCCTGGCTGGGTGGGTGGGCGTTGGACCTGAGATTGGGGTTGGCCTGAGAGGGGCGCTCTTCACTGGAGCGGGGCAGGGATTTGAGCAGGTGGTTGAGCAGGCGGGAGCCCAGCGTTTTGTCCATCCATTCGCAGTTGAGCAGCATGTTGTGGACTTCGTGCATGCACTGGATGTAGCCTGTGCTGTACTTCTGCTGTGCCTCCAGGCCTAAGGTGGGGTCTGCTGTGAAGGGGAGGAGACACTGGGTCAAACATGGGTCATAGCGCTCCCTGTTGGTGGCAGGATGTATTGCACCCAGACTGGCCTATTGCCCAAAATAAAATAGTATAATGCATTGCAGTGTTTCTTAATGCTGTTCCTGGGCACTCAAAGGGGTGAACATTTTTGTTTTTGCTCCCCTTTGAGTCCCCAGGACCAGGGTTAAGAAACACTTGACTAATCAATTGTTTAAAGTTGAAACCAAGAGAGAATATGGAGAAAAACGAAATTAAATAATACAACTATATGAGTACTAATACTCACAAAGGATTATTTGTATTATTCTTATTGACTGTTATTCAATCACTGATGAATACACCCACCAGTCTCCATAAGTGTGTCTAACTTTCCAACGTGCCGACACCGCCCCTAGCTGCTTATATAGAGTATTACACGCAGGCGCAACTTTGAAAACTCCTGGCACTTGCATGTTTCTTCAGTCAAGTCACTTGATCGGACACTTACCACTGAATTTATGAGTCTGAACATTCTGCAGGTGTTTCACTGTCATCTCTAGAATGTCCGCCTTTTCAAGTTTCGATTGCTGTTGGGGGAAATGGAAAGTTAGGGTCAAATAAATAACTTACATTGTGTATTTCACACTCCATATAATTGAGCATTTACAACAATTAAAATACAATGTGTATATAGGCCTACTCACATCAAGACTGAACGCCCCGACCACCGTTTCTTTCAGCTGATCCAAGCAGTTATTAATCCTCTCTCGTCTTTTCCTCTCAATGAGCGGCTTCCGCAGCTAGAGATGGGAAGTGATAGGTTAATGGCGACCAGATACAGTCACAAACTGGACCAGATAATCACTAAGTGTGAGCATATCCGAAGAAAGACACCTGTTGATGTTTAGGTTTATATATATATATATACACACACACGTGGACAAAGGCAATACCTTTCTCTCCTCCTTGGCACTCGAGTGTTTCCCCACGTTGTGCGCCATGGTGCTGGCTGTCATCTCTCCTTTACGCTCGGTATCGTTGTGTAGTTAGAGTATAGCTCTCCTCTCCCGGCTGAGTCTAGGGTCTGTAAGGCCTTTCGCACCGTGCACCGCTCTTATTTATAGGGCAGAATTAGCATGTGAATGCTCGAGCTCTTTGGCTGAGGTATTTTCCCACACACGGGTCGCTCCCAGTGCCCCGCACCCATCAGTCAGGGATGACAGGTCACTACCTCTTTTCAATAGCCGAGCTACCCGCCCTGGAAAAAAACACAAGAGACAGATGTCCAGCCTGAAACCATGCACGCCTCCCCCTCTCTCTCTCTTACTCTCCATCTCTCTCTCGTGACACAAAGCGCGCGGGTCCCCTCAGGGTTTTAATTCCCAGGGCCGAACAAGAGTGTGTAATTACCGTGGTTACACCAGGGACCCCCTCGACCATTCATGCCAATGAACTGGGACAGCATTAGGCTTACTCGAGAAAAGTGGCCCAGTGTAGCTCAGTTGGTAGAGCATGGCGCTTGCAACGCCAGGGTTGTGGGTTCGTTTTCCACGGGGGGCCAGTATGAAAAAATGTATGCACTCACTAACTGTAAGTCGCTCTGGATAAGAGCGTCTGCTAAATGACTAAAATGTAAAAGGCGAAACTTACCCGCTGAAGTCTCACACAGAAAATATACCATCAACGCCCAGTGGCCATGTGGTCATTGTTATCAGTCTGTATCATTGTCGATACAGGGAAGTGCTGATGATGAGAAACGTTAGTGACTAAATCCTGAGTGAAGAGTAGGCCTAAACAAATTGCTGAGAAATTAAGCCAAAAGCCTATAACGAAAAGTGTCAATATTTTTAATTTAATGTAGCCTATATGCTTTTCCTGAGATTTAGCCTAAATGATGTTCGCGCAATGGCAAGGGATATACTGTATATGTTCATGACTGAAAAACCTATGGCAATTACACTCAAAGTTAATGAAGCTTATTTCAAACTATTTTCAACTCTGCCCTGGTTCAGCAATTCGATAGATCTAGGCTACTCAACGAATTTTCAAAAGGTGGTCAGGTTTCAATCTAATTAATTGATTAAAATTCAATACATCGATTGAAAGTACGTGTTTCATGTTCTGACTTTCCTTGAAATAAAATGAAATCCCATCACCTAATGGTACTGGGCGGATATGAGTGGGGGTAAATAGGCCTAATTACACATGAATTCCGATGCTCTTTGGGTTGGCTAATATCAACAAGGACAAATGACTTGAACATCCTGTCGGATACTGATCATGGCTTATTATTAATCAATAGACGACGTTTTTTTTTTTTACGTACCACTTTGATTAGCCTAAGCCATATAGCGGAAGCGTTTGAAAACTGTAACCTAAACATATGTTGTCCATTTTTTCTAACTCTGAGTCAGGGAGAGCAGATGTCAAAGTGACCACGCGGACAGATGTCCCTCCCGCGAGCTGGCCCTTGGCTAAGGGATTCATGGCGAGGGCTCTGTGTTTGACTTGAGCCACGCGACAGCCAGGCGAACGCAAGAACATGGGAAACTCCACCGAACAATGGGAGGTATTCAGCCGAACCTAATCACCGTGAAGAGAGTAATAACCCTGTGGAGGGACAAGTGGATGGTCCAGCCTGGGAGAAGGCTCTCAGTGAGCCCCGGAGTAGGAGGTGACTAATGGGTAGTTAGGGCAGGTGTGCCCTGACCACTGGTTTTCGGGCAGGTGTGTGACCATCACAATAAAGCGTCATTATGAGCAATAGCTCATGTGTGGTCTTTGACCACTTTTATTTATTATTCATGAGATACATTTTGATATCACATTGTTATGCATGAGAATAGCATTTGGGCCTATTTGTGAAATTAGTGGTCATAACACTTGTTGAATTTGCTAACATGAAACAGTGTAGCCTAATGTGGTCAATTCGAATTGAAGGCAGTCAATTCAGGAAGTGATTTGAATTTATAATACAAAAATAAAAACACTTTTGAAAATAAATAGCTTCTACTTTTCAGTTTATTGAGAAGTCATTGGGGGAAAACATCTATAATTGAATTGGAATTTCAGTTTACTTCCTGATGCCTGAATTGGCTGCCATCAATTCGAATTGACCCAACCCTGAATGGTAGCCTATTAACAATACATGACATGTCCAAACAGGTTACCTGATTTTTGCATAGGCTATGGATGTTTTTATTTTATTGGATAGCTTCCTGTAGGCTAAAAGGAGTGTGGTCCTCAGAGCCTTAATAATTAACGAACCTTCAGTAGGCAGTTGGCACTGACAGGCGACAGGCAAGTGTGCAAGGCTTTGAATGAGTGGACCGGAATGAGTCCACTTTTTAAACCACTTATAAATCCAGACTGTAGGCCTATAGTCACAATGGGTGGCTTTCTGAAGAGGCTGTGGCTGATGAATACACTGAGTGGTGAGGTCTCTTTTGAAACTACAGAAAACTTGGGCGACTTTTGGGGAGGCCTTTGACCATACAAAGCGCAATGGGACATCTGGCCACGCGACCCACGTGCAGTCAGCTGCCTTGTCTCTCGTCACTAGGAAACGTCCTTCAGAGGGTCACACATAAAGACCCCACGGTCGCGGCCCATGCGTCGTCTTCCAGAGAGCAGCGACCACCGACAGATAAACGTGTTACATTCACAGGACTATATCTATATAGCCTAACAAGGCAATACGATTTTCGTGGATCACATTTGTATATAGGCCTACCTAATTGATCCAATTTTCACATAGCCTATCCTAAACTACATGAGTGTATTCTATGTTGGAGTGTCAATTTGTGCCATTTTTGTGGCGGCACTATAATGGGGACTTATAGAAAGTTCCATCTTGTTATGGGGTGGTGGCACAGAACGGCCAAAAATCAACTAATCCGTTAAAATCGTTGAGGCAACAAGGGAGAGAAACTATCAGAGAGCCCGAATTAAAAGGCCAACTTGTAAAGAGGGGCTCGCGCCCTTTCCTGCTGTTCTCTCTTACCATCTGGTCACGCGTCCCAGTGATCAGAATTAGTGTGAGAATGACAATTACACAATAGTTCCCATTCTCAGACGTCCTAAGCGTCTGGCTGCTAATTATGAGGAACACAATCACTCCTGTTGGGCCAGTGTGCCCGTCTACATCTGCTTTTTAAGGTTACTTATTCCGGATCAAGAGGCATATATATATGAGGCGCTTCATGCTTGCAACATCAGAATTTGTGAAATGCGCATTGAAAATGCATATAGAGGGACACGCACTACCACATCAGCGAGATGTATCTTATTTTTGAAGGTATTGTATGAGCCTTTATTATTGGCCACATTGGAATAAATAAATAGGCCTATACTCTCTGCCCGGCTAGTCTCCATCCCTCCAGCCATCCTTCCAATTAAATTATCTATTTTCCCTATTAGACTACTATCACTCTATTTTCTCGAACACTTGCATATCTATTAATTGAAACAAAAACATTATAGCCTTCTAAAGGTAAATATACCTCTTCATAATGTGAGAACATTTAAAACTTTAGTGGTGTATTATCACACTGTTATTTATAGGTATTTTTTATTTATTTGTTGTTATTTATGATTGTAATAAAATAAAATAAAATATATATATATATTTTTTTACTTAACACTTTTTTTATTTTCTTAAAAACTGCATTGTTAGCTAAGGGTTTGTAAGTAAGCATTTCACTGTAAGGTCTACACCTGTTGCATTCGGCACGTGTGGCAAATACAATTTGATTTGATTTGAATTTGGGGTATTATCAACAGTAAAATACTGTGAAACGTTTTACTGCATCATACTGTAAATTATGGTGCATTGTGGGAAAATGTTGTAGGCAGAGAAATAATTGCTGCATTTCAAAAGCTACTGTAATTTCGTCCCACAGGATACACAGTATTTTTGGAATGCCAAAAACATTTGGCCCTCTGGCCCTCTGGCCCTCTGGCCCTCTAGTGGGTGCATGATAGGCTGGCTCATTAACATATTTTGATGCGTGCCTTGTAGGAGGCTATAATTTGTTGCACTCGTTGGTAAGAGTGCTGTAGGCCCACCAATTTAACAGGTATGTCGTAGTAGTGCCCCATCACTTTAAAATGTATAGGGGACAGATTGGAGTGGCAGCAAGCCTTAAACCTTTAATGATTGAGCATTTTGCCATGTTCTTTTGGTCTGTTTTGCCCTGTAGTCGCTGCCAGTTTGGAAGCCTTTGTTAAGGCCTCTTGGAAGTGAAACACCAAATATCCCAGCCATCCATCCATCCATCCAGCCATCCATTAATTAATTCATTAAGACTGCGGTAGTATGTTCTTTTTAAACAAGTATAATACAGTCAATTCTACAGTATTGTACTGTGTCATTACACAGTACTTGCTTTGATACTGTATTTAGATTACATAGGTGTACTGCAATATGAAGTACAGTAACTTAGGCTACTTGCCACTTTGCTACCTGTAGTTACTGTCAAATTCACGGCAACCCCTTTACAGTGTTGCTGCCAGTAGTTCTTCAACTTTTTAAGCATGGTGATGGAATGATGGCAGGGGAATTAGGATCTTGTTTTCCCTAACATGATCCAGGCACATTTTATTTACCTAATGTGCAATAATTGGCGATTACACTTGTTTTCCATAGGCCTAACAATTAAATATGATGGAATGTCCAAGTGAAAATAACGTTGTGTGGGCAGTATTGCATTTGCACTGAAACCTTGCAAGTTTGCAAAGTCTATTGATCAAGTGAATTAGCATAATTGTTGCGATATTGCCAGCACAATCTGAAGATTTGGTGCAGTCGGTGTGTAGACCTAACCCTGCTTCAGTAGCCTGAATTATATGTTGAAACTTTAGACTAATTTGCTAAATTTGGTTTTACAGACAGCCCTTGTTTTGACGGAATAATAATGGGCTAAACCAGTTATAATGTAGACTACTAATTGGTCTTAATTGATAGGCTAGCCTAACCTTGGTATATTTGCCTAAGTTTGTAACAAATGTAGGCTAGATACTTTTCGGTCATTTTCTTGTTGGTCGCATTTGTTTTAAAGGCATTTTCAATAGGTGCTTGAAAATCACTTGACCCTTTGGCACGCACCCCAAGGCACAGCCTTACTGCATAATCGTCACAGATAGCATCTATTCACGACTATTCATTGCGCTGTTTTCTGCATTGAACCCCCAAATATATTTATTTCCCATACCTATTGTAGGTGGTCTCTTTTTATTGATAAATAAATACACATTGAACTTGTAAAGAACCATTAATTTCTGTTGTAATATACAGTGGGGAAAAAAAGTATTTAGTCAGCCACCAATTGTGCAAGTTCTCCCACTTAAAAAGATGAGAGAGGCCTGTAATTTTCATCATAGGTACACGTCAACTATGACAGACAAAATGAGAAAAAAAATCCAGAAAATCACATTGTAGGATTTTTAATGAATTTATTTGCAAATTATGGTGGAAAATAAGTATTTGGTCAATAACAAAAGTTTCTCAATACTTTGTTATATACCCTTTGTTGGCAATGACACAGGTCAAACGTTTTCTGTAAGTCTTCACAAGGTTTTCACACACCGTTGCTGGTATTTTGGCCCATTCCTCCATGCAGATCTCCTCTAGAGCAGTGATGTTTTGGGGCTGTCGCTGGGCAACACGGACTTTCAACTCCCTCCAAAGATTTTCTATGGGGTTGAGATCTGGAGACTGGCTAGGCCACTCCAGGACCTTGAAATGCTTCTTACGAAGCCACTCCTTCGTTGCCCGGGCGGTGTGTTTGGGATCATTGTCATGCTGAAAGACCCAGCCACGTTTCATCTTCAATGCCCTTGCTGATGGAAGGAGGTTTTCACTCAAAATCTCACGATACATGGCCCCATTCATTCTTTCCTTTACACAGATCAGTCGTCCTGGTCCCTTTGCAGAAAAACAGCCCCAAAGCATGATGTTTCCACCCCATGCTTCACAGTAGGTATGGTGTTCTTTGGATGCAACTCAGCATTCTTTGTCCTCCAAACACGACGAGTTGAGTTTTTACCAAAAAGTTCTATTTTGGTTTCATCTGACCATATGACATTCTCCCAATCCTCTTCTGGATCATCCAAATGCACTCTAGCAAACTTCAGACGGGCCTGGACATGTACTGGCTTAAGCAGGGGGACACGTCTGGCACTGCAGGATTCGAGTCCCTGGCGGCGTAGTGTGTTACTGATGGTAGGCTTTGTTACTTTGGTCCCAGCTCTCTGCAGGTCATTCACTAGGTCCCCCCGTGTGGTTCTGGGATTTTTGCTCACCGTTCTTGTGATCATTTTGACCCCACGGGGTGAGATCTTGCGTGGAGCCCCAGATCGAGGGAGATTAGCAGTGGTCTTGTATGTCTTCCATTTCCTAATAATTGCTCCCACAGTTGATTTCTTCAAACCAAGCTGCTTACCTATTGCAGATTCAGTCTTCCCAACCTGGTGCAGGTCTACAATTTTGTTTCTGGTGTCCTTTGACAGCTCTTTGGTCTTGGCCATAGTGGAGTTTGGAGTGTGACTGTTTGAGGTTGTGGACAGGTGTCTTTTATACTGATAACAAGTTCAAACAGGTGCCATTAATACAGGTAACGAGTGGAGGACAGAGGAGCCTCTTAAAGAAGAAGTTACATGTCTGTGAGAGCCAGAAATCTTGCTTGTTTGTAGGTGACCAAATATTTATTTTCCACCATAATTTGCAAATAAATTCATTAAAAATCCTACAATGTGATTTTCTGGAGAAAAAAAAATCTCAATTTGTCTGTCATAGTTGACGTGTACCTATGATGAGAATTACAGGCCTCTCTCATCTTTTTAAGTGGGAGAACTTGCACAATTGGTGGCTGACTAAATACTTTTTTCCCCCACTGTATAGGCAAGCCTAGAACTGCCCTGACCCAGTAAACTTGTAGGCTTACATAATTTGTCCATTAGCCTATCAGAGTCAGCTGTCCATTATTTAGAAAATGCACACAGAAATGTGATACATTGTTGCATGTTGCTATATTGGTCAAAACTCAACCATGTGATGACACTGCATCTGTGCATAATAAATACATTATTTAAGAGCGTCATAATAACAAGTAGAACATTACAAGAGTTCCAGAACACTACATTCTAGGTTACTGTCTTGATTTGTGATGGCAGTAGAGAGGGTACATTTTTAAAGGAAGGCACGTGAATGTATTATTTTTTGCCGAATTTGAACAAAGTGTCTTTAGAGAAATATCAAGTTTAATATCTCACAATATTTAATTAGGCTAATGTTTTTTTTTTTTTTTTCATGAACACATTTCTTCTGTCTGTCTGGAATGTAATTTGGGGCCTAATGATTTGAATAGGCCTTCTTCACTCCAGTGATGCAGACAGACGCAAGTAAGGAAGGGCCCTGTAAGCCCCGTCGTCCCTATATGGTCATTAGGGGCCAAATAACGTGGCATATAGGCCTAAAACAACAGGTTAAATACAGGATCGACTTCAAAATCATCATGCTTGTATTTAAAGCCTTGAATGGATTGAGCCCCACACATGTCAGTGACCTCATCTCAATCAGCGAGCCACCTCGCACGCTCCACTCTAGGCACTCCGTACTGCTACGTCCCCAAGACACGTCTCTTAACTAAGGGGGACCGAGCCTTCTGCTCCCTTGCCCCTCGCCTATGGAATGCTCTCCCTGACCATCTGAGAGCAGCTCCATCACTTGGAACTTTTAAAACTGGCTGTAAAACCCACTTCTACAGGCTATATTTTTCATAGTCCTAGTCCCATTCTAAAATGTATTTAGCACTTAGCCCACTATTGCTATTTTACCTGCCTTGATTCTAAATGTATGTTGTTGTTATTATTGTATATAATTTTTGTAATGTTTTTCCTCAGTAGAGCTTTGAGATAACTCTGTAATGAAAAGTGCTATACAAATTAAATGTAGCCTATTATTAAACATTTGGGATTTACGCATGGATTTCCTTATTGCCCTATCAGGTAAATGGACCTATGCTATGGCTTAAAAACAACAAAATAGCATTCAAATGCTAGATAAATGGATTTAAGTGTAATGTTCTCCTGTCATTGTGCTCCCAGTTAGGTCCTCTGTTCAGGAACCCAGACTTTGAACCCAGACAGTGTGTGTCCAGAAACAGGAACAGGAGACCTCAGGTGAGTATGACACCAACGGGTGTTCTGCAGCCCATCCCTGAGAACCGAGACCCAGTGGAACAGAGCCTGAGACCCCCACCACCTGAGAGGACCATCATCAACCTGCAGTTACACACACAGGTAGGACTCTAGTCCTGCAGCGTGACCTTCTAGTTTGTGTGTGTGTGTGTGTTCCACTGTGTTCGTCAACTATAATGTGGCTATAACTATTTGCATAACACCATAGGAATGTGTATGATTGAGTCTTTTTTAATTCTTATGTTATATCTGAAAAATCTCCAATGTTCTCTCTCGATTAGCTTGACCAACAAGGAGCGTTATCCCACTCTGAAGAGAAGAGAGGGAAAACCAACCCACTCTCTGGGATCCATGACCTGGTAAGTGACCTTTGTTTTAAGTGTAACCTTTTTTCTTAGAAGTGTTGTAGAACAGGGGTAAACAACTAAATTAAGCCACGGGATGATTTTTGTTGGAGCACATGGTCGGGGGTCCGGAACATAATTATAATAATTTGTACACTGCAAATTGACCACAACTAAACTCTAAAAGAGATTGTATTTGAAAATAACAATAATTTCATACAATGATTATATTGAGACACGATCACATCCAGTGCCTTCGGAAAGTTTTCAGACCCCTTGATTTTTTCCACATTTTGTTACGTTACAGCCTTATTCTAACATGTATTCAATCGTTTTTTTCCCTCATCAATCTACACACAATACCCCATAATGACAAAGCAAAAACAGGCTTTTATAAATTTCTGCTAACAACTAAAATATCACATTTACATAAGTATTCAGACCCTTTACTCAGTACTTTGTTGAAGCACCTTTGGCAGCGATTACAGCATCGTCTCTTCTTCGGTATGACGCGACAAGCTTGGCACATCTGTATTTGGGGAATTTCTCCCATTCTTCTCTGCAGATCCTCTCAAGCTCTGTCATGTTGGATGGGGAGCGTTGCTGCACAGCTATTTTCAGGTCTCTCCAGAGATGTTCGATCGGGTTCAAGTCCGGGCTCTGGCTGGGCCTCTCAAGGACATTCAGAGGCTTGTCCCGAAGCCACTCCTGCGTTGTCCTGGCTGTGTGCTTAGGGTCGTTGTCCTGTTGGAAGGTGAACCTTCACCCCAGTCTGAGGTCCTGAACGCTCTGGAGCAGGTTTTCATCAAGGATCTCTCTGTACTTTGCTCCGTTCAGCTTTGACTCGATCCTGACTAGTCTCCCAGTCCCTGCCGCTGAAAAATATCCCCACAGCATGATGCTTCCACAACTATGCTTCACCGTAGGGATGGTGCCAGGTTTCCTCCAGATGTGACGCTTGGCATTCAGGCTAAAGAGTTCAATCTTGGTTTCATCAGACCAGATAATCTTTTTTCTCATGGTCTGAGTCTTTAGGTGCCTTTTGGCAAACTCCAAGAGGGCTGTCATGTGCCTTTTACTGAGGAGTGGCTTCCGTCTGACCACTCTACCATAAAGGCCTGATTGGTGGAGTGCTGCAGAGATGGTTGTCCTTCTGGAAGTTTATCCCATCTCCACAGAGGAACTCTAGAGCTCTGTCAGAGTGACCATCAGGTTCTTGGTCACCTCCTTGACCAAGGCCCTTCTCCCCCGATTGCTCCGTTTGGCAGGGCGGCCAGCTCTAGGAAGAGTGTTGGTGGTTCCAAACTTCTTCCATTTAAGAATGATGGAGGCCACTTTGTTCTTGGGGACCTTCAATGGGGCAGAAATGTTTTGGTACCCTTCCCCAGATCTGTGCCTCGACACAATCCTGTCTCGGAGCTCTACGGACAATTCCTTCGACCTCATGGCTTGGTTTTTGCTCTGACATGCACTGTCAACTGTGGGACCTTATATAGACAGGTGTGTGCCTTTCCAAATCATGTCCCATCAATTAAATGTACCACAGGTGGACTCCAATCAAGGATGATCAATGGAAACAGGAATGCACCTGAGCTCAACTTCGAGTCTCATAGCAAAGGGTCTGAATACTTATGTAAATAAGGTATTTCTGTTTTTAATTTTTTATAAATTAGCAAACATTTCTAAAAACCTGTTTTCGCTTTGCCATTATGGGGTATTGTGTGTAGATTGCTGAGGAATTTTTTTCATTTAATCCATTTTATAATAAGGCTGTAACGTAACAAAAGTAAAGGGGTCTGAATACTTTCAAATTCCCTCAATTAAACTAAAATTTTAGCTGAATTCCTGATGATTTTACAGTCTTTTTTGAGCAAAAACTAAACTGCCTGTTGCCCACCCCTGTCGTAGAAGGAGACAAAGGTAAACACAGATTGTGTGTGTGTGTGTGTGTGTGTGTGTGTGTGTGTGTGTGTGTGTATGTGTGTGTGTGTGTGTGTGTGTGTGTGTGTGTGTGAATGATGCAGACAGTCCCCCTGTGTGAGAAAGAGAAGGCCCTGTTGGTTAAAGCCAGAGAGAGGACCATGAGATACTTGAAGGAGGATCTGTCTTACTACCACGAGAAGGTCACCAAAGACCTGGGATCCCTAGGCCAGACCCTGGACAGAGCTCTGGTGCTGAACCAGAACGAAGAGGAAGCTAAGCTGGAGGAGAGGATTGATTTTGAAAGGATGGTTAGGAGGTTTGGGAAGGGGGAGAGATTGATGAAGCCAGCGCTAGAGGTTGCAGGAAGAATAGACAGAAAAAGATCAAGACACCCGAATGTAAAGAAGGTAATGAATGGGAGAAGAGCCGGCCAACTAGTGAAGGTGGCAGAAGAGGAAGAGAGTAAAGGTGGTCAAAGTGCGAAGCCGGTGAAAATTGACAAGGAACCATTGCAGAGTTCATGGACAAGATCCAAAATGTGTTCGAGGGTTTTGAGAAAGTCCAAGACATCGACATGTGTCACATGATCAGAAAGCAGATTAAGCAAGACCAGATGATGTTGGAAGCTCCAGCAGGAGTTAGTAGTGGGCTCTTTCAGAAACTACTGGCGAGAGCGGGAGGAGAGCATTGAACCCATGCTAGACAGAGTGCAGAAAATAGCCGCTGTGGAAGCTGAGGTAACACCACACACCACAGCATGCTGTAGGTCAGCTGGTATAATGGCAGGAACAGGGAGGGAAGAATAGCATTCAGGTTTCTTTACAACTCACATTGTGCACTATAATAGCCTTCAGTATTGCCGCAGTATTTTGGATTGTGTTAACTCACGTTGGAGTCCTGTTAGGTTTTTATAAAAATGCATTGTGCATGTTATGTTTAGCCCAGCCAGGTCACCCATTATACAAGTCAGTATTCGATGTCCATCCAGGTCTGAGGATGTCAGGAGATGACGTGGAAACTGGCCACTAGGGGCAACAGTGAGCACTGTTACATTGAAGTAGGTTTAGGTTTTGCTAGGGCGTTGTTCCCTTCCAGTAGGTTTAGGTTTTGCTAGGGCGTTGTTCCCTTCCAGTAGGTTTAGGTTTTGCTAGGGCGTTGTTCCCTTCCAGTAGGTTTAGGTTTTGCTAGGGCGTTGTTACCTTCCAGTAGGTTTAGGTTTTGCTAGGGCGTTGTTACCTTCCAGTAGGTTTAGGTTTTGCTAGGGCGTTGTGGACGGGAATGGCAGATAGGTGTAAGTATCTGATTCCAAAGGTTTCAAGTTTGAATCCTGCGATAGAAATTAGTTTTTTAGATTTTTGTTTTAAGCCTATCCCAAACCTTACCCTTACATTAACCATTCAGAGTTAATGCCTAACATTAAGAATTTGGAGTTAATGCCTGAACATAACCTTAAAGACTTCAAAATGTGACATTTGAGAAACATGGACGAACGTCTAATTCTAACGTGAGACTGTGAGAGCTGGTAGGTTTAGCCACATGATCTAACCCTGCACCTCTGTCTCGTCTCTCATGCAGAATGACTTCGCTACTCTTGAGTCAGTGGTAAGTTGTTTACTGGATTCATACAGTATTTCTTCCAACATATATTAAATACTGATTAATTACTGCAGTTGAAATGTTCTCCCAGTATGTGAGACCTGTTAGGTTTTGATACATATGTACTCCCACTGGACACACACTGGTTGAATCACTGTTGTTTCCATGTAATTTCAATAAAATCATGTTGAACCAACATGGAGTAGACGTTGAATTGACGTCTGTGCCCAGTGGGCTGTATCTTGTCACTGTGATCTTGTGATTAATAATGTGAACTAATCTTGTACCTCTAATCTTCCCATCAAGAGTCAGAACTACAGGTCACCTGCTCCAGTGACTATGACCTCCTTGACCTCTGTCTCTCTGACCACTGCTCCACTGACCGCTACCCTCCAGACCACTGCCACTCCCCCCCTCTCCCTCCCCGTTCGCATCCCTCCCTCTAGCCTCCAGACCACCGCTGCTCCACCCCTGCCTCTCCCCCATCGCCTTCCCCCACTGAAGGTTCCACTGCCGACCCTGGCATGGCCACAGACCATCCATCTGCCACCCATCTCCACCCAGACTGAGGGAGGACTGACAGGCAACTCCGACAGGACTGGAACCCCTGTACTGGTAAGAAGACTGATAAGAACCAGGCTCCCTCTCTCTCTGGCAGTCAGATCCACACATGGTGTCACATAGAGGCAAGCTAGTGTAGATCTGTAAGATTATAGCTGCGCTGGAAAGATGTTTAAATGCTGTATTATGTTTCTCAGACTCTGGACACTAATGGAGATAAGACAGGAGAAACCAATGAGATTGATTATGTTGAGGTAGAGGAGATTATCATCCTGCCTGATGAGATTGATTATGAGGAGGTAGAGGAGATTATCATCCTGCCTGATAAGATTGATTATGAGGAGGTAGAGGAGATTATCATCCTGCCTGATGAGATTGATTATGAGGAGGTGGAGGAGATTATCATCCTGCCTGATGAGATTGATTATGAGGAGGTAGAGGAGATTATCATCCTGCCTGATGAGGAAAGGTTCCAAGTGAAGCAAGAGGAGAAGGAAGAAGTGAAGGTAGAGGAGAAGAAGGAATGCCGAAAGACCCTCAAGAAGAGGTGAGTTTTAAGTAGACAGAAGATAATGAAATAGTGGAGGGAGGGAAAAGCTAGCAGACAGACGGACACATAAAAGGAGATAGTAAAGGATGGTGTGACCACAGGAGATTGGTGGTAGCTTAATTGGGGAGGACGGGCTTGAGTTAATGGCTGGAGTGGAATAGGTGGAATGGTATCAAAGACATCAAACAAAGGGTTTCCATGTTTTTGATGCCATTCCATTTGCTCCATTCCAGACGTTATTATGAACCTTCCTCCCTTCAGCAACCTCCACTGGGTGTGACTCACAATTTTGAAGTGTTGCAGTAGTGTCCATATTGTTCCATTCATGTCAGTGGTTACTGTCTCCCTCACAGGTTTATCAGATGTCTGAGGAAGATGTGTTGCTGTGGAGGCTGCTCTCAGAAAAGCTGCAACTGAAATCTTCATCACACCGCAACCAGAGACTCCAAAACACACACACACACAGATGTGCGCACACAGACATACACATACACCAGGGGTTTTAATTTGATTTCATCCTATTTTTCAATAAACATAAAATCCCATCCTGTTGTTTGTTTTGTTCAGATTGGCAGGTCTTTAATATTTTGTCCAGGGTTGGTTTTGGGAAGGCTCCAAAGCTAGTAGAATACAGTGGTCCTATTCATTCATTACAACTTTATAAGATTTAGCCTCTTCACTCTGGGAGACCTGTACACATTAGTCTCCCGGAGCCAAGAGGCTTTATAGGGTTGTGCCTCAAGGGGAAGGCAAGAATAAAGAGAAAAAGCATGCATGCAGAATTGCTCACCAAACATACTTTTTGTCTAGGGTGTGCGGATTCAATGTAGCCCTCTTTAGGTGTGTGTGGATTCCAATGATTTATATATACACACCACAGGAGGTTGGTGGCACCTTAATTGGGGAGGATGGGCTTGTGGTCATGGCTGGAGCTGAATGGTATCAAATGCATCAAACACATGGTTTCCATGTGCTTGATGCCATTCCATTAGCGCCGTTCCAGCCATTATTATGAGCCTTCATCCCCTCAGCAGCCTCCTGTGATATACATACAGTATGTTTATATACATAATTGGTGGATTCATTCATGCACTCTTCCTGGTGCATGAGCGCCTCCCTGTGGACACTCACGAGGCCCCATGTGCAGATGCTATAGCGTTATACGAGCAGCGGGTGGCGGTAGACCTCGATGCCCAACCAGTCGCACACATAAAACGACAAGGAAACGAACATTTCAAGGGGAGGCGACAAATAAGGAAAACAAATGAGTTTTTAATCCAACGGGACAAACCGGTACATAGCCGTTAGCTGTTCAGACATCGGTGGAGAGTGAAAATATCGAGTTTGTAAGGTTTGATATTGTATTTGTCATTTTGATAACAATTAGCTGGGCTGCCTACATTGGTCAATGATGTTAGCTAACGCCAGGTAGTTAAATTAGCTGTCTAGCTAACGATGTTAGCCAGCTAGCGGAGGCCTGTCAAAGCGTTCGAGCGTATAACGTTATTTGTTAGCCTAGCTAGCTTCTCAGTAGATATTTAGCTAGCTGCTACACACGAGAAGTTAGCAAGACCTTGAACGCAAAAAAATAGCAAGCTAGTTGGGAGCATCACACAATTATCTTGAACTTAGTAGTTAGTACGGTAACTAGCTAGCTGGTGCTGTTGTGTAGTTAGTTGGCTAGCTAACGTTAGCTAGCAGTTAACGTTGTCGATAGTTGGCCAACTAGGTTTCTAGCTAGTTAGCTGGCCAGACAGCGTTGCCGTTGTGATAGCTAAGTTAGCAAGCGAGCTAACTAACGTTAGTCATATTTTAAGGCCTGTTGTGTATTTAGGCCTCCTGTATGGACCACAATATGAGAACGTCAGTGAAAGGCGGATTGACCACTTGGTGAAGTCGAAAGGTGCGTAGAGATTAATAATATCAAATTAGCCAGGGAAACTCAGTTCAAACCGGGGGCGGGTAGATGTCTGCGTTTATATTTGAATCCGTTAACATGTGACACAACAGATATGTGACCAGGCTAGGTCATGCTTTAGTGCTGGTTGGTTATATTCTTGGCTCCAGTGCTGGGTTCTAATTCTAAATGTAGATGCCATGCTAAGACATAGATCAGAGTCTGAGCCAGAGTTTTTGTTCACAGGTCAGGGGAAGATCCCATCTGGAAACAGGTTGCCAAAGCAGACAGACAGACCGGGCGGGTACATCACCCTTTGTCTCACTCAGTATCCACTATATTCTGGGAGTAATTTGACTGGTCTTGACTGTACACATTATAACAGTGCTATTGGAATCCACGCTGTCTTTCGATAGCTGAGGAACGCTCAACTCCGTTCTCTTATACCGAGAAGGAGTAGAGTATTTAATAACAGGTCGCGTGATTTGCTAGCAACAACATTGAGTCACTGTCAATCAATACTTTTATCGAATACATCCACCTACTTTCCTCATTTGTGTTGCTCAACTCAGCGCGAATGCACTTGTGCCAATTGAATCTCAGTTTACGTAGTACGTCAAGACTGCTACGTCTCCAGTTAAGCAACACAAATTAGGAAAAAGTCGGTTGTATTCAAACTTTTTATTAAAAGTATGAATTTCAGTACCCCGTGGGACCACAGTCGGGTACAAACTTAGGTACATATAGGCATTTTAAGAATTTACATTTTTACAAGTATTGACTAATGGGGACTCAATGTTGTTGCTAGCAAATCACTCGACCAGTTATTAATACTCAACCGCCTTGATATGAGAACGGATTTGAGTGTTCCTCAGCGATCTTTGGACAACCGGCATTGTCATGGCTGTTCGAAAATGGGGGACATTAAGCAAGTCTCCTTTCTGCACCCTTTCCATACAGACAGCGCACCCATCCCTCCATGGTGTGAGTTCAACTCTTCCTTATGTTCTTCTCAAATCAAATCAAGTTTTATTTGTCACATACACGTGTTTAGCAGATGTTATAGCGGGTGTAGCGAAATGCTTGTGCTTCTAGCTCCAACAGCTAACAAGTAATATCTAACAATTTCACAACGTATACCCAATACACACAAAACTAGTAAGGAATGGGATTTAAGAATATATACATATGGACAAGCAATGACAGACCAAGGAAGCCAAATTTAACACCACTGTTGTCAGATTGACACCTTGAACAGCGGTGATACAGCATAGATAACCCCACCTATGTCCCAGTCCCCTACTAGCAGTAGGGAGACCCAGCTAACATGCTGACCAGACCGCATGCACACGCATGTTGATTTTGTCCACCCACACCAGACGCGATCAGGACACACAGGTTGAAATATCAAAATGAACTCTGAACCAACTATATTAACTTCGGGACAGGTCGAAAACCATTAAACATGTATGGCTAGCTAGCTTGCTGTTGCTAGCTAATTTGTCCTGGGATATAAACATTGGGTTGTTATTTTACCTGAAATGCACAAGTTCCTCTACTCTGACAATTCATCCACAGATAAAAGGGTAAACCGAGTGAGTTTCTAGTTCTCTCCTCCTTCAGGCTGCTTCTTCTTTGGACTTTATATGGCGGTTGCCAACCAACTTTAAGGCGCATTACCACCACCAACTGGACTGGAGCGTAGACCTTTGTTCATCTTTCGATCCCCCACGTGGGTATATGCTCCTAAAAACCAATGAGGAGATGGGAGAGGCAGGACTTGCAGCACGTCTAGCGTCACAAATAGAACCATGTTCTATTGTAGTGCCTGGCTACGCTGACGCTCGCGAGCAGTGTGGGTGCAATGATTTAATAACATGTATGGGTACATTTATTTTGCAACGCGGGCGGTCTGGTCATCATGTAAGGCCTGTATAGGCGATATGCACAGGCGAGCATGACGTATTTCCGGTTAAATCTCAGGATGGATGTAAACTTCCGGTTATTGTAGAATGCTGTGTTACCATATGCTAGCATTGAATGCTTGTCGTCAAAAACATCCGAAACGGTAAATTTTCGTCGTTGTTGTTTATCTTAATGTTAATGTTTTTACTTGTAATACTTCGTCTTGACTTATAACACGATGACGTGTAAACGTACGAAAGTACAGGAGGGACGACAGACATGCCACATTCAGAGTAATGCGCAGTCTGATATAGTAATGCAACCAAATGATTGCATATCCCACACCCAGCCACACAGGAACAGTAGCTTTTAACAAGCACAACTGGCTGTGAATCACGCAATGTCATCTGAAATACACAGAAGCATAATTTAATGGGTTTTGAAAGACGAGGGTCTACAGCAGCAGGAGTAGGAGCAAAACTTGTTCTTTCTAATTTTTACTGGTATAAGCAACTTATCCACTGTCTCCTGTCACTTTCGTGCTTTCTGCATCACTTTCCTACTGTCTTGCACCACTTGGCTATACTGTCTCCCACCACTTACCTATTGTCTTGTGCCATTTACCTACCTTCAAACAGTATTGGCAGAGCAGTAGGTGAGTGGTGCAACATTGCAGCCTAGTACCAATAACAACAGTAGAGTGAAGGTTTTGCTCCTAATTCCTCTTGAAAAGTAGAAACATCAAGTACAAAAGCAAGGAAGTTGGGCCATATGTTTATGAGGAAAGAAGTAAAGATGACAGGACAGTTTTGAGTAGAACATCAGCAGTTTGAAGAATAGCTGAGTGGAATATGTTACTGTCATTGCAGTCATCAAGTCAGGAAAAAGTAGTAATCTCATTATTGTTTACATTTCAAACCAAACTCCAATTTGTTTACAACAGACCCAACAACAAAGCATGGCAATTCCCACTCAGCTACCCTGGTCTGTATTAGGCTACCACTGTTCAGCTATCGTGAAAACCACTAAAGTTCTAAAGTGTTCTCTTAGCAATGGCAACCAAAGCTGTGGTATTATTAAACGAGTAAAACATGTGTTGAACGGAACCTTGAACAAGTTCAACAGAACTTTGAACGTGTCACTTAATCTAGTCCTACTCTCAGCTGGTGTGGTGGCTTTAGTTTCTTAATTGAGCAGTAGCAGTGAGCTCTCACAGAGATCTCATTTGTAGCCCTGTTTTTTACCTGATACTTTCATAAAAGTACAAACACATGAAGTGAGAGGTATATACACATGATTAAACTTTATTTAAAGCATGATTAACCTGAAGCAGGACGGAGTCATGACTTAAAACACCAAAGCAAGGCTTCTAGCTCAGGCTAGGAAGCGTTAGCATATTACCTTCAAAGTTGCAAAGAAAATAAGAAATGTAAAATTTGAAGCCTTCATCCAGTTTGCTACGTGGTGTCGTACTGGATGTCCGGACGACCCTCCGTATATCATTAACAGATACTTTAGGCAACTCCAGCAAACACCTTGTAAACTTCATCTCTGCCATCATAACGGTCTACTGTCATTGTCTAATGTTTTTGGGCTCTATGCACGCCAATTCGGAAGTGATGCGTGCATAGAGCCTATTGTAAAAAGTGACTGGGTGAGTCATGGAATGTGGCAACTGATGGGGATGGGGGCCACAAAGAATCTAAACTCGGGCTGCAGTTGCTCGCCGGTCTGCGTACCCACATAAAAAAATAATTGTATGTTCACCCCCAGCCCATCCCTTGCCCTAGATAAAAGCTCAGTGAGAGAAGGTCTGACGTCCCACTGAGGGGCTCATGCATTCCCCAGGCTCTCACTGCTCTACGCCATTACTAGATAAGGTTATAAGCACCATACAGTTTGTCTGGGGAGGTGTGTGTGTGTGTGTGAGAGAGTTCATTAAGAGAAAGGATATGTGGCTGAACAGTGGTGTGTTGTTTACACTAGTGGGGAGAGGCTGGAGAAGGGGATAAGTACCGGTAAGTGGAGTTTTCCGTGACCTTAACAACACGAGAAGGGGTCATGTAGAGGCCCCTTTAGAAAAGGGTAGGGCAGAGGACATTCTACCTCTGTAATCATTGACTAACACTGACCAATCAGTCATGTCTCAACGTCGCCTCCCTTTATGGTGCAACTGGTCAGTAAACCAATCGATCAATAGTAATTACCTCGACTTACCTGTACTCCCTCACATTGACTCGGTACCGGTACCCCAAGTATATAGTCTCATTATTGTTATTTTATTGTGTTACTTGTTTTAATTTTTTTACTTTAGTTTATTTTGTAAATATTTCCTTAACTGCCTTGTTGGTTAAGGGCTTGTAAGTAAGCATTTCACGGTAAGGTCCTCACCTGTTGTATTTGGCTCATGTGACAAATCACATTTTATTTGATCCATAGTTACAAAGTAAACACAACTCCTGCAGTTAGCTTCCCCTTTCAACAACCTCACGCACAATTAGAATAATGATTGTAATGCTTAATAGCAAATCTCAGTATGAGGTTGAGAATCAACATTTTCCTTCTTCAGATCGATCTGTTTAGCCTGCCCCTCTACAGCCTGTTGTTTCTTAGCAATATGAATCCTAGTGTCAGCCTACTGACTCACAATTCATAAGTCATACTATGTTGTATCTTGGTATGATTTATGATGAAAAGTGAGTCACATTGTTAGTGCCTTAGTACTGATTGCTCCTCCTCACTGAGCTCTCGGAGTCAGTACCGATGCAGTTTGAACAACTCTTCTGTCACAGTTTGGTTTAGTCTTTCTCTGCATATCCCTTTCTTTCTCTCTTTCATTCATCTCCTTCAGTTGTTTATCTTCCCTTCCTGTGGATAGGTAGGACTGTGCACTCGCTGCTTGGTCGACCACGGTAACTCGCCACCATGCCATTCCCCTTTGGCAAGTCCCACAAGTCGCCGGCGGATATCGTCAAGAACCTGAAGGATAGCATGACGGTGTTGGAGAAACACGACATCTCTGACAAGAAGGCTGAGAAGGTAAACAACCAACACACACACTTATGCTTACACACAGGTAGACACACAAAGGCCGATACAGTTGAGTACCTCCTAGTTACACCTCTCTCTAACTTGACTAGTGACCTCAGAGATTCTATGGAAGCGATGGAGTGGGGAATTTCAAACCCCTCCCTCTAAGAGTTTGATTTGACTACAGTTTAAGGCAGGGCTCTCCAACCCTGTTCCTGGAGAGCTACCCTTCTGTAGGTTTTCGCTCCAACCCTAGCTGTAACTAACCTGATTCAGCTTATCAACCAGCTCATTATTAGAATCAGGTGCGCTAGATTAGGGTTGGAGTGAGAACCTACAGGACGGTAGCTCTCCGGGAACAGGGTTGGAGTGAGAACCTACAGGACGGTAGCTCTCCGGGAACAGGGTTGGAGAGCCCTGGTGTAAGGGGAAGGGGGGGTACCTGTGTTTCGAGATTTACACCATTTACAAAAATGGTGCCTATCATGTTTGATGTCAAGAGACGTCAGTCACAAAAACCTGTTGAGGGGTTAGTTTCCTTTCATAACAAGCCATCTCTAGACTCTGAAGAGAGTGTATGATGGGATCATTTCAGGACAACATGGGATGGTGGGGGTTAGCTACGTCATAGGAAACAGTATAGTGACTGATGGAGAGCTAGCTAATATTATGTAGAGCGCTAAATTAGTCTGTATTTGTCTTTGTGTGTGTGTGTCCAGGCCACAGAAGAGGTGTCTAAGAGCCTGGTGGCGATGAAGGAGATTCTCTATGGTACCAATGAGAAGGAGCCCCAGACTGAGGCGGTGGCCCAGCTGGCTCAGGAGCTCTACAACAGCGGCCTGCTCAGCACCCTCGTAGCTGACCTGCAGCTCATCGACTTTGAGGTGAGACACTTTACACTGCAGGTTTGTTTGTTTGTCTGTCTGTCTTTGAGACAGATGCAGAGGTATGAGAGATTTATTTTGAGATGCTGACTAGAAGGGTATCTTTGTGACGAGTGAGAGAGACAGATTTAAGTCGACGTATAGAAAGACAAAAGACTGACTGTGTCCTGTCTCTTTTACTGGCACATGGACTTGCTTTCACATGCTTTTTTTGCTCACTGCAATATGTCTGGCCCATGGTGTGGGTGTGTGGTGGTAGTAGTAGGTGTGTGTAGGCTTCACTGAGTCACCTTATCAGCCTGAGTCAGTGTGATTCTCCTCTTCCTCTTTGACCTTCTCCACATCCTTCAGTGGGTCTGTGTCATTCTCACCCATCTGAAGATACATCTGTCTTGGCTATTCCTGCTATAGGGAGGCTGAATTTGATAATAGGTGCAAAAACAACGCAATGATACTCATTTGAAATGTGACAATTCACCAATGGTGCAAATAGGTGAATCTGTTTTATCACCATAACATGTATAAGAACATCGGATTCAGAATTAGAAGTTTAAAATAAGAGAACATTGTTTTGAAACCATGGCTGTTTGGAATCTGACCACTTGTGATTTTCACACCTTTCTAAGATTATTTCATGTCATTTGTGTTCAACATCAGGGTAAGAAGGATGTGGCTCAGATTTTCAACAACATCCTGAGGCGTCAGATCGGGACGCGGACGCCCACGGTGGAGTACCTCTGCACTCAGCAGAACACCCTCTTCATGCTGCTCAAAGGGTGAGGCCTGGGGCACCCAAACCTACACTACACCCTGTCATTTACAATGCTGGGGTGTAGTGTTTTTGTGTTGGGTAATAAGTGGATACCTTTTAAGTCAGTTAAGTTTTATTTGAAGTGAATTACCACATTGTCTCAATACAGAATAATTAAATGCATCGAAATAGAAAGATAAATACTGCAGAAATTGACAAACAGCAGATATTGATAGTAATAACTGGAGACCTTGACAGTGTCCTATATCAGGGATCATCAACTAGATTCAGTCGCGGGCAGATATTTAATTTTTTATTGAGCGGATGGTCAGGGAGCCGGAACATAATTGTGATTGTGGACTACAGGGAAAAAAAGAGGACTGAACACGCCCCCATTCTCATCGACGGGCTGTAGTGGAACAGGTTGAGAGCTTCAAGTTCCTTGATGTCCACATCACGAACAAACTATCATGGACCAAACACACCAAGACAGTTGTGAAGAGGGCACGACAAAGCCTATTCCCCCTCAGGAGACTGAAAAGATTTGACATGGGTCTTCAGATCCTCAAAGTTCTACAGCTGCACCATCGAGAGCATCCTGACTGGTTGCATCACCGCCTGGTATGGCAACTGCTCAGCCTCCGACCGCAAGGCACTACAGAGGGTAGTGCGTACGGCCCACTACATCAATGGGGCCAAGCTTCCTGCCATCCAGGACCTCTATACCAGGCGGTGTCAGAGGAATGCCCAAAAAATGGTCAAAGACTCCAGCCACCCTAGTCATAGACTGTTCTCTCTGCTACCGCACGGCAAGCGGTACCGGAGCGCCAAGTCTAGGTCCAAAAGGCTTCTCAACAGCTTCTACCCCCAAGCCATAAGACTCCTGAACAGCTAATCATGGCTCCCCAGACTATTTAGACTTTTTCTTTAAAAAAACTGCATTGTTGCTTAAGGGCTTGTAAGTAAGCATTTCACTGTAATGTCTACACCTGTTGTATTCGGCGCATGTGGCAAATAAAATTTGATTTGATTTAATTACAAATAATTTGTAGACTGCAAATTGACTGCAAGAAACACAAACAATGTTTGACTAAAACATAATCATTTCAAACCTTGCTTACAGACTATAAAACACAATTTCAAACCTTGCTTACATTTGTATACGATCAGGTGTTTCTCTATTATGCGTGGGAATACTTTGGAACAGATTTCTTAAATTAAAATCAATTGGAGCTGATTTGCTGGTGTTTTTACAGTCTTTTATGTCCCCCCCCAAAAACACTTTGGGGGGGCCAAATAAAACCACCCGTGGGCCAAATTCTGCCCGCAGGCCACCAGTAGGGGAACACCAGTGACGCTCTGAGTAATTAGCCTATTCCTATTTGCTATAGTCTATTTCAATACATTTGTGAGATAGAACGCAAGAGAGGAATGTTGGCCAGACAGAACAGATAATACTTTTTTACATACCGGACTCTCCTGAACTATCTTGTGTTTAGTTGTTTACATTATTTTTTGCCTGTATTCTCTTCTGTCTCCATTTGATTGGCTGTAATCCAGTATAATATATAATAATATGAATATGACTGAAGGCTACGCTTCATTGTTTTATGCATGGATTTCTCCCGATCAAAAAATGAATGTAAATGTTGAGTTTCATCTCAAACATGTATTTTTATAGCCTAAAAACATAAGGTAGCCAGAGGACTAATAGTGAGGGAGAACAAACCATATCAATAGCCTATAGAAACATCTAATGACCAGTTTAAGCTTATTAAGTAAGAAATGATCAATGCAGACCGTGTAATTCCCTTCAAACAAGGCCAAATGGCCGATAACTTATCATTATTCCTCCTACTGGCCGATCATAAAAGCTTTACGGCAACTTAAAGTTAGAAACATTAGCTTATTTCCCAAATATTCTAGCTTACGAAGGTGTTGTCCTAAAGTTATGGCTTTCAAAAATAACACGAATGAACGTCTATAGACTAGGCATAGGCTATTGTCATAGGCTATCACAGATTAATGATAGATAGAACTAACAATATTATTTATTTTTCTATTATTTTATGAGGCTCTTCAGTAAGGGCCATTCTACTGCCAATGTTTGTCTACAGAGATTACAATGGCTGTGTGCTCGATTTTATACACCTGTCAGCAACGGGTGTGGCTGAAATAGCTAAATCCACTAATTTGAAGGGGTGTCCACATACTAGTGTAGCTCACCACAGTAAGACAGCCAGTTCCTCATCAGACAGTCACTGCTCCATCACAGCGTGCCACACACACACACCTGCTGCATGTTAAAGCTCCTCCACAATAAAGGAATATTATAAAAGATTTGCCAGCACTTAGCCTCTGCCCAGGTGTTCAATAACATTATCTTTCGTCATGATTCATCCAGTTGCATTCGATTTCACGCTGTAGCAGGGTTGTCTTTTTTCAACAAAAAACTATTTTTGGGGGGGTTGACCAATAGGGGGCGACGGCATCGTATGTCAAAATGTTTTATGGGTACATAATCACGATAGGACAAAGGTTAACATCGCCCAACCCTACTTGCGGCGTAATAACTGGATACCTCCTTCCTATTCCAATGTTCTCCTGGCAGGTACGAGTCTCCAGAGATCGCTCTGAACTGTGGCATCATGCTGAGGGAGTGTATCAGGCACGAGCCGCTGGCCAAGATCACCCTGGGGGCCGAGCAGTTCTACGACTTCTTCAGATACGTGGAGATGTCCACGTTTGACATCGCCTCAGATGCATTCGCCACTTTTAAAGTGAGTTTTTCAAAATGACCGCTTTAAAAAAAAATCTGAACTGTAATATCTCACACCCATAGGACCATGGGTTTCTTGGGGCCTAGATAGAGGGCCTGTACTATTCAGCTCATTGGTTAAAATACCTGTATGTGTTCCTCTTCCAGGACTTGCTAACGAGACACAAGATTCTGAGTGCTGAGTTCCTGGAGCAGCATTACGACAGGGTAAGCCCTCCACATCGTGTTGAAATATAACCCGGCGAGAACACATCTCCATGATACTTTTCTTCCAATGTTACTTTTTCTGAATAGCAACCTGTCACGGTTAACAGAGCTTTTTAAGACGATCTGAGGTCACACCAGTACAAGCTGAGTTTATTTGCGCTAAACCCCAGCCTGACAACTGAGTATTTCAGAGACATCTCTAAGATCCATGAAAAGTATATCAGGGAATATGGAAATTACCTTGAGACGTGGCAGCACAGTACTCAGCAACGGTTTTTCTCCTAAGATAAAAAACTGGCATCTGACATGTGGCTGTTTTGAATACACGGCAGCTCCCTGTCTATAGGTGTGGGAAGATCACTAGTTGGCTTGTCAACGAGTTTGCAAACAAGCAGATGCACTCTGAAATAGTGGCTTGACATTCACTCAGATGATTAGCTTTCTCCTCCCCTCCCTCCAGTTCTTCAGTGAATATGAGAAGTTACTCCACTCAGAGAACTACGTGACTAAAAGGCAATCCCTCAAGGTAAGAACGTTATTCCTGTTGTAGTAAACATCTGTCATGTAGTATTTGTATATATGCCTGTTTTTGAGGGCTAAGTATAGATGGTCTCTTTACATGGTGTTTGGTTACTGAAAATATCCCCAAGCAGCAAGCTGACTGATGTAGTGCCACCCTGTGGATGGAGTAGGTTTTAGATATGTTTCATCTGCCTTGTAACGTCCTCCCCTATTTTTGCCAATGCATAGCAGTATCTTCACTTTGCCTTGTGTAAACCCAACTATAATGATTTATATCTATTTATATAGTTTTAGCTGAATCTTATGTTTCAAACATGGCATTCAATAAATTATTACTTTTTCACCTTCCACAGACTGTAATTGCAATTAATACTTAATGTTTTTTGTCACTCTGAAACAATCTAGTTGCTGGGAGAGCTTCTTCTCGATCGACACAATTTCACCATCATGACGAAATACATCAGCAAGCCAGAGAACCTCAAGCTAATGATGAACCTTCTTCGAGACAAAAGCCGCAACATCCAGTTTGAGGCCTTCCACGTCTTTAAGGTAAAAGAAAAACGAGAGACAAGCACAAGGCTATAGCAGGCGGTGCAATTTTATATCAGTTTAGTTGGATTGTAAGAATAATTTCTCCTCTTACTTCCCCTCTAGGTGTTTGTGGCCAACCCCAACAAGACACAGCCCATCTTGGACATTCTTCTGAAGAACCAGACCAAACTCATTGAGTTCCTCTCCAAGTTCCAGAACGACAGGACGGAGGACGAACAGTTCAACGATGAAAAGACATACCTGGTCAAACAGATCAGAGATCTGAAGAGGCCGGCCCCCCAGGAGGCCTGAGGGAGGGGCTTAAGTGGTCCAGACAACATCTGGATAACGGACTCATCAGCAGCTGCTGCTGTTCTGGTTTTTCCACCATTTGAGGAAACAAAACAAAAAATATTGCGCCCGTATCAAGTCATCAGGAAGTCTCCAGCTCATTCTGCTGTTCAACGCAACGGACATACAATTTATTTTTATTTAAAGTTTCTCCTTTTAAAAAGAAAAGAGATTAACATAAAATATGCTGCTTCTTTCTTACACATTAAGACGTGGAAGGGTAACATCAACAACACAACAAAGGTCATTCAAACAAATAGTAACAATGAAATCTACTACATTTGAGCGCTATGCAGACTTCTGACGCGCGCACACACAGTGCTATAATATCAGCATAAACCTTGAGATGAAAAGGTACTAACAAAGTGAACATTGGGGTGTTGGTTGCATGCCTTGTCAGATCCATGGCTGTACTTGGGGCTAGACGCTGGCCCTGTCTACTTAGCGTCACAGACGGCAGAAAGCACGTGCATCGCAGTACCAGCTACAACTCTTATCTATGCTTTCATCGTATACAGCAGCAACAGTGATGCATTTTAAAATGGGCTCTCCAACGGCCTCACACCGAACCATGCAGCCTGTGGTGTATTGTGAAACGGCACAGAGCGGATGGTATGGGTAAAATGCTAGATATTATTTCGGTACAGGCCTGACTTGGGTTTCTTTTTTGTTCTGGGACAGGGTGAATGTGTACATATGCCTTGTATTTTTTATTATTTTTGCTTTGTAGATTTTGTTGAAACATTGACACATGAATATATATATATATTACCTTAAATCAAGTTTTTCGTTCATTCTAATCAAATTACTTTTTTTAAGAGGAAAGATATCTGTCATTTTCTGCGTTTCATTTGACTGCCGAATTGAAATGGTGGCTGGTTTTTCTTTGTACATAACTTCCAGCCAGGGCCAGCTCTCACGTTGTTAACCTAGAAGACATTAATAATAATTAGTACAGCTGGGGAATGTCATGGTATTAGCCAGATCTCTTAATCTTCTTTTTTTTGCTGTCTGTATTTGAGTAACTCAGATGACTAAAATGTGCTGGGGTGCCAGGACAGTGGGGTGGAGGGGAGGGGAGGGAATGGGATGGGATGGGGCAAGGCGCTAACCGAAACATGAAGCCTGTGTATTTGTGCACTTTGTGCTGAGCAGCCAGCCAATGGCCGTGTTCCCCTGCTCAGACGTTGCATGCATCAACCAATGGTTGCGTGCTACGTCATCCACTGACAGATTGCTATAACATATGTGGTTAGCTGATACGTAAAATATCTATCCAAGCGTTGTAAGCTCTGGCAGGCATCAGCAATGCTGGGCAGAGGAACACGCCCTTCATCTCCTAACTGGAATCTGATCGGGGGGGTTGGTGGGGATTTCAGGGAATCGCAACATTCTCCCCCCACTCATCCACTCTGTGGTTTATTATGAGATTCAATGCTTTCTGATGGTGTAGGGGTGTTGCACCATATCTAGTGAGCTTCAGGAGTTGACCGTTACTTAGCACATTCAACATTTTCTCCCTTTACCCCCCCAGTTTGAGCCTTTTTCATTGGGGTTAAAATTCCAGTACAATTCCAGAGCATTATGTATGTTCTTTGGAGATTGTTTAATTGTTTACTTTACACTGACTGAGCAAATCTGCCATTTTAAAACGCAGTATTTATTTGAGGGATGGAGTTGATTGGATGATAAGAATATCTTGCATATATACCACTCAACAGACATGTTTACTTGCAGTGAAGGATATGGTCAGAGAGTGATGTTGAGCCAAGTGCTTTTGACTGAAAGCTCATCCATATATCCCAATAGACGACTGATCAGCCATTTCATTGTGCTAACCAACAGAGAACAGTACGCTAAAGACCAGTATTCCTCAATGCATATTTAAATTGCATGTTCCTCTACTGGCTGCATGGTACTCTCTACAAACAATGTTGTACTGGAATTTTCTTCCAAAAATAACAAATGAACATTTGAGATAGCGTGAGATTATTTGGCTATGTCTAACCTTTGACTCCAGTCCCAGCACATTGAGTGTGTGGGTGCTTTCAGAAGTGTCAAAAAGGCTTTGGCCTTATAATCTAAACAGAAATAAATGAAAAACATTTGGAATAAATTGAACCTGTGGTCAGTGTTATTTGTCTCTCATTGTCCTTTCCTGTATCTGTCTCAGTGATGAATGTCTGGAAGAGTAAAATAAATAAATCCAGGATTCAAGCACACTCATTTTACACACACACAACACAACACTGAACAGTCCAGGGCTATATAGGGGTGGTGATGAGATGAGGTGCAGCTGCGCTGGAGGTGATTAGGGTGCGTTGGGTTTCCATTCCGGTGTTGCCGAGGTGGTGCGCTCAGACCGGTGGCTCAGTAGACCGGCGAATCAGAGCGCCGGAGGGGAGCAACGGGAGGAGACGTGACACTATGCACCATATTTATCTTCAATGGTTCTCTTGCCGCTACTTGCTATACATATAAATAACACCCCGTATTCAAAAATACCTCGTTATTTTATAGTGGCTGCAGACCACAGACATTTCTTCTAAATGCGTACAGACAACTGTCAGCGGGACTTCCCATGGTACCGTTACGCCCTCTTATATACTGCAGACAAGTCATATTTGCATGATTTAGCTTATTCATAATTAATTCATAATTAACGTTTGCTTCATTCATGTGACCGACCAATACTGGGTCATGCATGTGACAGACCAATACCTCACGAGGCTTCTTTGTAAGCTGAGACCTTGAAACTGAGATATCAAAACAAGGGTCTGGTTGTACCGCAAAATTGCAGATACTGATAGCGAGGGTTAGTTCAATCAGTCACTTGCATGAACACAGAAAGTGGTTTATAGAAAAGCACAAATATAAGAATTTCCATCACACATGAAATCCTGCCTCTGTCAGCAACCACCCGACCTAATGTTGTGTCACATCGCATCGCTCTCAGCTTTATCTCTTGCTCTTTGTCCCACTGTGTTTGTCTGTCACTGCATCCCCCCTGGTACACCTCCTCTTGCTTCTGTCTCTTTCACCTGATCTGTCTTCTTCTTTAGCTCAGTCACCCTATCAGACTAAAGGAAAACATGTGAATGTGAGTTTAAGAACCAGTGTCCCTACAATGTGAAGTAGACAAATTGGCCATTATTAGTCTTTGTGCATGTTTGCACCTGTATGTAAGGCCTCTAAAGTCTAGAATAATCTACAGTGAGGGAAAAAAGTATTTGATCCCCTGCTGATTTTGTACGTTTGCCCACTGACAAAGACATGATCAGTCTATAATTTTAATGGTAGGTTTATTTGAACAGTGAGAGACAGAATAACAACAACAAAATCCAGAAAAACGCATGTCAAAAATGTTATAAATTGATTTGCATTTTAATGAGGGAAATAAGTATTTGACCCCTCTGCAAAACATGACTTAGTACTTGGTGGCAAAACCCTTGTTGGCAATCACAGAGGTCAGACGTTTCTTGTAGTTAGCCACCAGGTTTGCACACATCTCAGGAGGGATTTTGTTCCACTCCTCTTTGCAGATCTTCTCCAAGTCATTAAGGTTTCGAGCCTGACGTTTGGCAACTCAAACCTTCAGCTCCCTCCACAGATTTTCTATGGGATTAAGGTCTGGAGACTGGCTAGGCCACTCCAGGATCTTAATGTGCCTCTTCTTGAGCCACTCCTTTGTTGCCTTGGCCGTGTGTTTTGGGTCATTGTCATGCTGGAATACCCATCCACGACCCATTTTCAATGCCCTGGCTGAGGGAAGGAGGTTCTCACCCAAGATTTGACGGTACATGGCCCCGTCCATCGTCCCTTTGATGCGGTGAAGTTGTCCTGTCCCCTTAGCAGAAAAACACCCCCATAGCATAATGTTTCCACCTCCATGTTTGATGGTGGGGATGGTGTTCTTGGGGTCATAGGCAGCATTCCTCCTCCTCCAAACACGGCGAGTTGAGTTGATGCCAAAGAGCTCGATTTTGGTCTCATCTGACCACAACACTTTCACCCAGTTCTCCTCTGAATCATTCAGATGTTCATTGGCAAACTTCAGATGGGTCTGTATATGTGCTTTCTTGAGCAGGGGGACCTTGCGGGCGCTGCAGGATTTCAGTCCTTCACGGCGTAGTGTGTTACCAATTGTTTTCATGGTGACTATGGTCCCAGCTGCCTTGAGATCATTGACAAGATCCTCCCGTGTAGTTCTGGGCTGATTCCTCACCGTTCTCATGATCATTGCAACTCCACGAGGTGAGATCTTGCATGGAGCCCCAGGCCGAGGGAGATTGACAGTTCTTTTGTGTTTCTTCCATTTGCAAATAATCGCACCAACTGTTGTCACCTTCTCACCAAGCTGCTTGGCGATGGTCTTGTAGCCCATTCCAGCCTTGTGTATGTCTACAATCTTGTCCCTGACATCCTTGGAGAGCTCTTTGGTCTTGGCCATGGTGGAGAGTTTGGAATCTGATTGATTGATTGCTTCTGTGGACAGGTGTCTTTTATACAGGTAACAAACTGAGATTAGGAGCACTCCCTTTAAGAGTGTGCTCCTAATCTCAGCTCGTTACCTGTATAATAGACGCCTGGGAGCCAGAAATCTCTCTGATTGAGAGGGGGTCAAATACTTATTTCCCTCATTAAAATGCAAATCAATTTATAACATTTTTGACATGCGTTTTTCTGGATTTTTGTTGTTGTTATTCTGTTCAAATAAACCTACCATTAAAATGATAGACTGATAATTTCTTTGTCAGTGGGCAAACGTACAAAATCAGCAGGGGATCAAATACTTTTTTCCCTCACTGTACATGACACTTACTGTATTGATAAATATGTAATATGATACCAGATTATTTATAGCCAAGCTGCCCTTCTCCCTGTGAAAGCATCAAAGAAAGTTTCTCCCTGTGAAAGCATCAAAGAAAGTTTCTCCCTTCTTTTTGATGCCCCTCTTTTCACCTCTTCATTCTTTGTTTTTCTTTCAGGGATGGCCAAGCCTCTCCCCCTTTGTTTGCACTCTTTATCAATGCTTTATCAAGTCGTTCTAGTACAATTCTGTCTTGATTTTTCCCCCTGCATGTGTGTTTCTCTGTAAGGAACAACCGCACTGTTCGAATCTTTTATAAGACCACGTTTAAAGCCTTGGTCCAGAGTCAGAGACTGGACTAAAGTAAAGACTGCTGTAAGGGAGCTTATTATATCATATGTTAATATATACCTTAGACTGGTCTGTATATTTTGTCTGCTGGTGAAGTCTTTTCTGTGAATAAAGTAGTTAAAAGCACCTGGGGGTTTCTGTTTCTTGTTCTTTTTAAATAACTGATAGTTGTTACTGTATTGTGGGCATCATGGGACATTTCGCTGTCCCGGTTCTCTTTGGCTCTGTGCATGTGCCACCAGCCTTGTTTCAGTGTCTAGAAGTAACGGATCATATTCTTAAGTGTCAGTGGGTGAAAGTGTGAAACTAGGTTGGTTAAAGTGGAGAGTTGTGGTATGCTTCTACATGGTGCTCCCCTTAGCGCAGCACAACACATATAGCCTTTTTAGACAACAAATATGTTACATAGCCTATATCCAGTCAAAACACACTGCTTGATTAGTTTTCTTAGGCCCAAAGGAATTCTTACGTCAGATAGCGGCTTTTCGCAGATAGCGTGACGATTTCCCCTTTACTGGCGGTTGAGGGAAAAGCGTCGCATAGGAGTGACGCCACCTGTCGGAAGACAAAGGCTCGAAGGATGAATTTATTTGCATGCCACCTTTACACTGGCTTTCCGTATTAGACTCCATAGTGACTCCTTATGTACAGACTGTCTGTCATATAGCCTGGACACAGATGTCCCTCCACGTGGCAGGGCTCTGAGCCACAAAGCTGTTGGATGGCTGCTGCTGCCTGCCAGGATCCTCAGCCAGGATCCTCATGAATTATCAAGAAAGTCACATGACTGTCTGATGGTCGAACCACTCAACAACGGGAAATGTTGGGCACCCGGCCCCGCATGTGGATGAAAGCAGGATTGAAAGCCATAGTAATTATCAGTACTTTTGGAAAAATGACAGTGTGGTCGATGTACAGAACCTAGTAAATGTCAATGACTTCAGTCTTATTAACCATCAAAATCACAAAGATAAGAGGTTGTAAAGTGTTTATTGTATAAAACATATTCATTGTATGAGCACATCTTAAAAGTACAGATGAGCGCAATTAAACTTATATAGAAGAAGAGATTAATTGTTACCAAAAAAACAACTCAACTGTAACATGTAAATTGACAAAATATCATTTTACATTTAACTATAAATTGTGGCATATTTAGGAACACATTTTGATGCCTTTACCTCAAACTCTCTCCACTGATAGTGGTTTCTCACTCACTGTGTACTCACCCCTCATCTACTTTCATGTGATCTGGCCAGAGAAACCTCCATGTCAGAACCCTCTTTCTTCTTCCAGAAAGCATCTAAAGAGAAGTAGTACAACAGTGGATCTAGACAGCAGTTGACGCTGGCCAGACAGAACATGGGCATGACAGCCACCCTGTTTTTGAGCGTTAGCACGATGGAGAATGGCAGGAAGAAGACAATAAACATCAGAAGGTTGATGGTGAAGATCAGCATGACGTTCATCTTGTTGTTGACCTTGGCGGCATCGCTGAGGTGCCCGCGTAGCTTCCAGGACACCATGGCGGAGGAGACCACGTTGACCCCCAGCATGGCGAACACCAGCCCAGACTGCACATAACCAACGATCGGCAACCCCACAGCACATCCACTAGTTGTAAACTCAAAGCAGACGTTATTGGCATTACAGCTCTTCATCCGACGGATCTGGTAGAGGCTCTCTGGGATGTTGACCGCCACGATCAGGAGCCAGACGAAGACACAGGCCTTCCAGGCGTTGGTGGTGGTGCGGAGGTGGCGGGACCTCAGAGGGAAGACCACAGCCAGCAGCCTGTCCAGGCCAATGAAGGTGATGAAGATGGCGCTGGAGCGGATGTTGTTGCGGAACAGCATGGTGGTGGCGGTGCAGGCCTGGATGCCCAGGGGCCAGGTGCCCGTGGTGTAGAAGTAGACCCGGGTGGGCAGGGAGAGCACCAGCAGCAGGTCGGACAGAGCCAGGTGGCTCATGAAGACAGCACTGGAGGATTTGAGGCCATGGCGGCGGAGCAGAATCCACAGCGACACGGCGTTGAGCGGCAGTCCCAGCACCAACACGCAACCATACACTGTGGCAGAGGCTGCATACTCATAACTCATAGCTCCGGAACTATTGTTGGTATTGTTCATGGTGTCTGTGCGTGTGATTAGAAAAGAGACAGAAACAACACCAAACCACTCACTCAGTGCTCTGGTTGCCACATCCTACCAGAGCGGTGTGCATAGAGGTCGAGCTGTTCATAACTTTCGGAATAAAAGTGTTGAAATAGGAAGTGAGGGTGATTTTTTTTCTTTTCAGAAAGGACCTCCCATCCTCTCTGCTTATCACGTTGAAGAGTCTTGAACAAATGACATATTCTTGAGTAAGAAACTATCAACAGGAAGTATCTCTGATCTCTCTGATCTATACAGACAGTCTTAACATTTTTTTGCGAAGAGTGAGTTATTCGTAGTGAATACTTACAGTGGGGGAAAAAAGTATTTAGTCAGCCACCAATTGTGCAAATTCTCCGACTTAAAAAGATGAGAGAGGCCTGTAATTTTCATCATAGGTACACGTCAACTATGACAGACAAATTGAGAAAAAGAAATCCAGAAAATCACATTGTAGGATTTTTAATGAATTTATTAGCAAATTATGGTGGAAAATAAGTATTTGGTCACCTACAAACAAGCAAGATTTCTGGCTCTCACAGACATGTAACTTCTTCTTTAAGAGGCTCCTCTGTCCTCCACTCGTTACCTGTATTAATGGCACCTGTTTGAACTTGTTATCAGTATAAAAGACACCTGTCCACAACCTCAAACAGTCACACTCCAAACTCCACTATGGCCAAGACCAAAGAGCTGTCAAAGGACACCAGAAACAAAATTGTAGACCTGCACCAGGCTGGGAAGACTGAATCTGCAATAGGTAAGCAGCTTGGTTTGAAGAAATCAACTGTGGGAGCAATTATTAGGAAATGGAAGACATACAAGACCACTGATAATCTCCCTCGATCTGGGGCTCCACGCAAGATCTCACCCCGTGGGGTCAAAATGATCACAAGAACGGTGAGCAAAAATCCCAGAACCACACGGGGGGACCTAGTGAATGACCTGCAGAGAGCTGGGACCAAAGTAACAAAGCCTACCATCAGTAACACACTACGCCGCCAGGGACTCAAATCCTGCAGTGCCAGACGTGTCCCCCTGCTTAAGCCAGTACATGTCCAGGCCCGTCTGAAATTTGCTAGAGTGCATTTGGATGATCCAGAAGAGGATTGGGAGAATGTCATATGGTCAGATGAAACCAAAATAGAACTTTTTGGTAAAAACTCAACTCATCGTGTTTGGAGGACAAAGAATGCTGAGTTGCATCCAAAGAACACCATACCTACTGTGAAGCATGGGGGTGGAAACATCATGCTTTGGGGCTGTTTTTCTGCAAAGGGACCAGAACGACTGATCCGTGTAAAGGAAAGAATGAATGGGGCCATGTATCGTGAGATTTTGAGTGAAAACCTCCTTCCATCAGCAAGGGCATTGAAGATGAAACGTGGCTGGGTCTTTCAGCATGACAATGATCCCAAACACACCACCCGGACAACGAAGGAGTGGCTTCGTAAGAAGCATTTCAAGGTCCTGGAGTGGCCTAGCCAGTCTCCAGATCTCAACCCCATAGAAAATCTTTGGAGGGAGTTCAAAGTCCGTGTTGCCCAGCGACAGCCCCAAAACATCACTGCTCTAGAGGAGATCTGCATGGAGGAATGGGCCAAAATACCAGCAACAGTGTGTGAAAACCTTGTGAAGACTTACAGAAAACGTTTGACCTGTGTCATTGCCAACAAAGGGTATATAACAAAGTATTGAGAAACTTTTGTTATTGACCAAATACTTATTTTCCACCATAATTTGCAAATAAATTCATTAAAAATCCTACAATGTGATTTTCTGGATTTTTTTTCTCTCATTTTGGTCTGTCATAGTTGACGTGTACCTATGATGAAAATTACAGGCCTCTCTCATCTTTTTAAGTGGGAGAACTTGCACAATTGGTGGCTGACTAAATACTTTTTTCCCCCTACAAACAGGTGTTGATCAAGAGCAATTGTCTAAAACATTGAAATACCGTTTTAGATTTGAAATGGTCTGGATGTACACATTTGGGCTGGCTAGATTGAGAGTGGGTGGATTACATCTGAACAGTCCATATCTGAACGTGTATTATTATGTAGATACTTCTACTCAGTATGAACAAATTACAAGACTCATTTTGTTGATCAGATCAGATAGTGTTAGATATGCCCTCTGAGATATTCTGTGAAACCTCTTTGGATCTCAGCCTCCTAAAGGTAACACTAGGACCAAAGGCCACAGGTGTGATGAGTGAGAAAACAATGGAAGGCTGGATGATTGATTTGAAAACATTTATTACAAGTGTTGGCCATTCATTCATTCTTAGAGGGACTTGTCTCCTCTCTCTGCTGTGGGGATCTGAGTTTTCCATTTCCCAGATAGAGGTGATAGCCATCCATCTACAAGGGAAGCATCTCCACCCTGCTCTCCACACTGCACGCGCCAAGAGGTGATAAGCCACATCTATCTAGCAAGTCCAATCAATCTCCATTGACCTGGGTGTCTGAGCCTGTCTCTCCAGGTTCCTTGACCTTGATGTTGTCCATTGGATGCTGGTTGATTTCCCTGAGCCTTGCCACTGTGTTTCCTCTAGTGGACATCCTCCTCCTCTCCTGGCTGGCAGTCAGCAGGTTCTCCTTCAGGATGAGGTAGTAGCAGACCCCGTCCGTCAAACAGTTGACAGTGCCCAGACAGGTGCTGATGTGGACGAAATCTCTGAGGGGGTCGATGATGCCCCGGTCCTCCGTGAAGTTCTTGGCCAGGAAGTAGACGACTGCGGCCACGTGGTAGGGGATGAAGCACAGCAGGAAGGCCACCAGGTTGCTCAGGACGATCTTCACAGACTTGTTGTTCCTCAGCTTCTCGTCCAGCGGGTTCCGTCGCCGCATGTCACTCAGGATCTGCATCACGCGCACCGAGAAGAACACCATGGCGACCGTGCTGATCGTGAACACCGTCTCCATGGCGATGATGATCCATTTCTTCTTCCAGGTTTCGCTGGAGAAGTTCTGGAAACACCTGGTTTCGTTGTCATTGTGCAGTCCGCTGTCGTTGTTGTTTTTGTTGTGGAGCTCATAGATGGGCGTGGTGAAAGCGAATACCGTCACCCACACGGCCAGGCATACCAGGGCAGCCTTCCGTGACGAGTGTAGATGCTTGCCGTTGAATGGAAACCGCAGAGAAACATAGCGGTCGCCTGAGATGCACACGATCAGTATGATGCTCCCATAGATGTTGACGAACACCAGGCTCTCCAGGAAGGTGCAGAAGCCCATGCTCAGGCCCCAGATGTGTTCGTAGGCGTATATCTTGAAGGGCAGAGAGAAGATGACCAGGCTGTCGTTGATGATCAGACTGCTGAGGTACACCATGGACTCAGTCCATCGACGCATCCTGAAGAGGAGGAGCCACAGAGCGGCCAGGTTGAGGGGAAGACCCACCACAAACGTGGGGACGTAGACAATCCACTGGATATAGCATACTTTTCTTTCACACAGTGGCATTTTACTGCAAACAGAGAGGGAAATACAATACGCATATAAATGTAATTTCACTTAAAACACAATGCTTTTAAACCAATACAAGAGGCATCAATCAGGATCGTCACTGAGCAAGAGTAAAGAGATTTATAGGGATAGTTCGGGATTTTGGCAGTCTACAGGAACCTCATGCTAGCTGTTCCTGTAGACTTCCAGTCATTGCGCTAATAATAAATTATTTAGCAATTGCGCTAACACAAGTTAGCAACTTCCTTCAAACTGAACACAGAGACATAAAAATTGTATAAACAAGTTAATCTGACTCTGGGGAAGTAGATAAAGAGGCTCATTACCAAAATCATGAACTATCCCTTTAAGCCTCACTGAAATTTGACTGTAGGCTACATGTTATTTCAACTTGAGGGGATATCCTGTAGTAAATAATGAAGCAACTAATCATTTGTATGACTACTGCCATCTCATACACTAGGCATAGTGTTACTACCTAGTAGGCTACTGTAACTGATTTCTCTTAGTGTAACAGGCAGGAGCTTTTTAGAGGTCCACCACTAAGCAGCAGTACTCAATTCCTCTGTAACCCTATAAAAGGGGAAAGGAATTGGCATTCTTGGAAAGCCATCTTACATGAGATTCTGGGATGATCTTAATTGCACACTCCATGTGTCCACTGTCCTCTCTCCTCAAAACCCATTGGAGGAGAAGGTCAGAGGGGAGGGACATCTGGTTCTCATCCAATGGGTTTTGAAAAGGAGACGAGGAGTGAGGATGTTAGGAGTATGAAATTGAGATCTTCCCTCGTTTGGGCCATGTCAAATATGATCTATTATATTGACAAGATGTCCTCAAAGATGGAAGGCAGGCACGAGGAGGCAAGATCAGGTGGGACCATTCTATCCAATGAGAGGGGCAGATACAGTGAGGGAAAAATGTATTTGATCCCCTGCTGATTTTGTACGTTTACCCACTGACAAAGACATGATCAGTCCATAATTTTAATGGTAGGTTTATTTGAACAGTGAGAGACAGAATAACAACAAAAAAATCCAGAAAAACGCATGTAAAAAATGTTAGAAATTGATTTGCATTTTAATGAGGGAAATAAGTATTTGACCCCTCTGCAAAACATGACTTAGTACTTGGTGGCAAAACCCTTGTTGGCAATCACAGAGGTCAGACGTTTCTTGTAGTTAGCCACCAGGTTTGCACACATCTCAGGAGGGATTTTGTTCCACTCCTCTTTGCAGATCTTCTCCAAGTCATTAAGGTTTTGAGCCTGACGTTTGGCAACTCGAACCTTCAGCTCCCTCCACAGTTTTCTATGGGATTAAGGTCTGGAGACTGGCTAGGCCACTCCAGGACCTTAATATGCTTCTTCTTGACCCACTCCTTTGTTGCCTTGGCTGTGTGTTTTGTAGTCCCGAAAGGTTTTGTAACTTTCAAAATAAAGAAATTATCCTCTATGATGTAAAATGCAGCATCATAGATTTCTGTATTTTGAAAGTTAAATATCTTGAAAACTTGAGTGCTGACAAGCAAAACATTTTGGGATTATGTCAACAATGGACTAATGAAACAAATAGTAAAGGATCGTTTTTTGGTGGACCTTTAATGCATGGACTGCTATGACTGTTTATTCAACACCATAAGCAAATCATCAAACACATTATGTTTTCTTGCATCATATTAAGATGAAAATGTATATTTAAAGAATAGAGATATGAAAAGGGAGAATTGTTCGTCAACGATTATTCACATTGAAAATAAAGTTGTAGATCAAAACAAAGTTATTGTTAAGTATTATTCAATTATTTTGCCTATTGAACAGTGACTACATTTGCTCAACATCCAAGCTACTACACATTTTCGGGCAACTTGGAGTCAGGGTTAGACATAACATAGTACTCCAATTAGTATGTTAGGTTACGTATGGTATGTATTAATTTGTGGATGTCCATCATCCATTTAGTATGATATGTTACAAATTACAGTTCGTATGATATGTTACGAATATGCAAAGCGTATGATATGTTACGAATTCCAATTAGTTTTGGCTAACGTTAGCTTGGTGGCTAACGTTAGCTAGGCTAGGGGTTAAGGTTAGTGGTTAAGATTACTGTTAGGTGAAGGGTTAGCTAAGATGCTAAGTAGTAGCAAAGTAGCTAAAAAGCAGTAAGTAGTTGCAAATTTGCAAATTAGTTAAAATGCAAAAGTTGTCCTTGATGAGATTCGAACACACTACATTTGGGTTGCTAGACTTCATATGCCTACCCACCCTGACCAACTACCTTACCTTAAAGGAAAACTCCACCCATTAAAGGAAAACTCCACCCAAAAACTATATTTTGGTATTTGTTTCATTAGTCAATTGTTGATATAGTCCCAAATTCTTTTTGCATGTCAGCAATCAAGTTTTCAAGATGTACAACTTAAAAAATACAGAATGTTGAAGTTATATATCTTGAAAACTTGATTGCTGACATGAATATCTCAACAATGGACTAATGAATGTAAGCTTTTGTCTTATGTAACCATAACAAACATAAAAAATTATACTAATTTGAGTGTCCCAGGTTTAAATTCAGTATGTTAAATTTAGTCTATGAGACCAAGCTGGTTCGGGATGTTTAGTTAAAAACTGATGTCTGAACCAATGACTGTATAGGTCTGAACAGTGTGATTTCTCCCGTTTGTAGAACGTCCATGAGTTTAAAATGTGTTTCCATTGTTTTAGAGATCATGACATTTCAATTTGTCTAGATGATTTACGATTATATGATACAGTATCTCACAACAGCATGGCAGAAACCTCAGGTGATTGTAAAGATAGGCTGCGGTTAATTAATGCATGAACACTGAAGAACTGGGTGCAAAACTCCAGTCCAAAAGTATTACAGTAGGGTACAGAAAAAAAACTCACCGAAGTCGAGTTGTGATAATTATCTCTTCTCAACTGGAATCGAACCTCATGGCTTTGAGTACTGGTTTGGTAAGACGAACTTTAACCTACAGTAAACAGCCTATGTCGTGCCAATATTTATTCCTCTGATTGATAGTGAATCCCGTTTGCGCGCTGTTTTACAAAAAACCCTACACAAACCGCACTGGACCTGCAATCTGCTCTAGGCTAGTGGTGCTTTGGTTGACTAGTTTGCATACTTAAATGAAGCAGTCTAATTCAAATTAACCTAATATAATCAGATATGCACATACAGTAGCTAAAAGAAGACAGTAATCACTTATTGTGTGGATTGCGCACACACATGCCGACCACTTCTGCTTAGGCCACACTCACGTGGTTTAGCATGCTCAGTTTCTTTTTTTAACTTTTCTTGACCAATGTAAGATGTGTAGGTTAACAGAAGGCGTTTCCCCTTTGACATATATACGTTTCCCACGCAGGTTTGAGGTTCTCATTTCGTCTTTTGTAGAAGAAACCAAGCTGTATGGGAAAAGTTGTTCAATTGTAAATCTTCCTCTTTTTAATCATGATTAAATCAACTGTCATTGCTCATGCACACATTCACATATGAGTGGTCTGGAAAAAGAGTCTGAAACAGTGAAATATAATGTTACTGTTTTGTATAAAGACGCACTAGAGGGAGCCACATGAACAGTTAGGGGACATCTTGAGTACTCTGTCAGGAGCCAACTAGTACAAGTAGACTTTTGACTGAAGTCTGTCTGATACTGTTGCGCAGAGAACAATGTCGTTATGACAGCTTACATCGCCACCACAACCACATCCGCATTTAATTTCCGTCTTAACTTTTCCTGCTTTGAATGAGTGATCTTTATTTTAAATTTTTTAAATTTTAGTCATTTAGCAGACGCTCTTATCCAGAGCGACTTTACAGTTAGTAAGTGCATACATTTATTTTTTTCTTCATACTTCCATCATTGCTAGTCATCATTGCCTGGGCCCACATACTTTTGAATGAATCCTCTACAGATCAGTAATCAATATATTTGGTCTAGAAAAGCGATTAAGGCTTACTCTACATGTCTCAAATCAGAGTAGCATCTACCTGTCCACACTTCCTCTCAGGCTAGTGTACAGTGCATTCGGAAAGTATTCACACCCCTTCCCTTTCTCCACATTTTGTTACTTTACAGCCTTATTCTAAAATGGATGAAATTGTTTTTCCCCCTAATCAATCTACACACAATACCCCGTAATGACAAAGCAAAAACAGGTTTAAAGACATTTTTTGTAAATGTATTAAAAATGAAAAAATAAAATATCACATTTACATAAGTATTCAGACCCTTTACTCATTACTTTGTTGAAGCACCTTTGGCAGTGATTACAGCCTTGAGTCTTCTTGGGTATGACGCTACAATCTTGGCACACCTGTATTTGAGGAGTTTCTCCCATTCTTCTCTGCAGATCCTCTTAAGCTCTGTCAGGTTGGATGGGGAGCGTCTCTGCACAGCTATTTTCAGGTCTCTCCAGAGATGTTCGATCAGGTTCAAGTCCGGTCTCTGGCTGGGCCACTCAAGGACATTCAGAGACTTGTCCCGAAGCCACTCCTTCGTTGTCTTGGCTGAGGGCTTAGGGTCGTTGTCCTGTTGGAAGGTGAACCTCCTGAGCCCTCTGGAGCAGGTTTTCATCAAGGATCTCTCTGTACTTTGCTCTGTTCATCTTTCCCTCGATCCTGACTAGTCTCCCAGTCCCTGCCGCTGAAAAACATCCCCAACAGCATGACGCTGCCACCACCATGCTTCACCATAGGGATGCTATTGGCCAGGTGATGAGCGACGCCTGGTTTCCTCCAGACGTGACGCTTGGCATTCAGGCCAAAGTGTCAATCATGGTTTCATCAGACCAGAGAATCTTGTTTCTCATGATTTGAGAGTCCTTTAGGTGCCTTTTGGCAAACTCCAAGCGGGATGTCATGTCACTTTTACTGAGGAGTGGCTTCCATCTGGCCACTCTACCATAAAGGCCTGATTGGTGGAGTGCTGCAGAGATGGTTGTCCTTCTGGAAGGTTCTCCCATCTCC